TATAATATATTTTATTAATCTAGTATGCTTTTTATATTAAATTAAAATGTTTTTCAATTAGATTTACATTCATTTATAGTAAAAAAAATTTTTTTTATTAAATATTAATTTGGTTTTTTTTCCTAATACTTTTCCTATATGTATAATAAAATATAAGAAATACTATTAATAATTTCAATTGCTTTATCTATATCCTTTAGATTGTAGAGATTTACAATAGTATATAATTTTAAACTAATTTACATATGTGAAAAATGTACATTATATAATAAAATTATATGCAAAAATAATAATGAGTAGTGCATAAATGTGTATAATAATATATTAAAAAATTTATAAGTATGCGTAAAATATTTTGCTAAAAATATTTTTATTAATTTTATTAATTAAATTTTAAACTATTTATTAGCAATTTTTATAAAGATAAAATTTTAAAATAAAAAAATATACTATTAGAATATATAATTTTTTTCATTCTTAGTCTATTAAACTTGTTAATTTAATCATTAAATGCATATTTAAAGATATTCTCAAGTATCAAACTTAATTGATCAGAAATAAAATTTAAATTTATTGAAGATTGATTTTGCAGATCAAATAAATTACTATTTTAATAAATAAAATATATAAGTCTAAACTATCTTTTTTTTTATAAAATTATACTGATTGATTACAATTTACTATTGATAGAATATAAAAAGAGATTGTGTATTCTAATATTAATTAAAAAGAAGTAAAACTATGATGTATTTATTATGATCCTTTGCTATGTAAAATTAATGACTCTCTATATGATGATATAATGAATGTATAATGGTAACCTAATATTAGATTATTACAAGTAAACAATTTATCCTGCAAAATTCCAGCCTTAGCTTTTATAGATGACATTCTTTAGGTAGCTATATCAATATAGGATCTTTCATATATTACCATTATTACCAATAGTTTTATGAATTTAACAATATTTAAGTTAACTGATCTAAATCTAAGTTGCTTGTTAAGTTAAATAATTCACACTCTTTATTATTTAGCAAAATAATTAGAACTGATCGTTTACATCTCATGATCTAAGAGATAGTGTTTAATACCTAAAAGTATGAATTTTGCTTTAATCTAATAATATTTATGTATATAAGTAGCTGCAATCAGAAATTAAAAAAGCAATGATTCTTATAATAAATAAGTATTTAACAGATTCTCAGTTAATCTATATATATAATACAATTCTTCTTTCTCATATGGAATATAATATTTTTTGAATTTAGGTTAAATTTAATTAAATTATAAATTATTAAATTTTTATTTAATAATAATAAATTGTAAAAAAAATATTATATCTTTTTAGTAAAAGGAATATTAATACCATAAAATCTATATAATTTACAATGCATTTTTTTTCTTTAGAATTATATCTTAGTCACAAAAATTCTTTAAAGCCATTTTCTTTGAAATTCTTATTTAATTTTTGTTTTTAATTTTTAATCTAATACATGAGATTTTGAAATTTGAGAATTTAACATTCATTTTGTTCTGTAAAAGTTTCTGATAAAGGAATTTTTGATAAAATAAATCATTTTTATCACTTTCAAATAAAGATTTATCTTTTTCATTTGGTGTATTATTATTTCTAATATTATGAAAATTAGCATTAATAGGGTATATAAAATAAAGAAGAGTCATTTTGTATTTTCCTTAATTACCCTCCTAAATTTTTTGGTAAAAAACTGATTATGCAAAAATTTTCAGATATTTTTAAAATATGTTTTTTCCAACTTTTCAAACCTTACAGTACTATTTTAGATCCAGTTGTTAAGTTGAACAACACAGGTAGCATACAAGTGGGTAGCTAGCTACTTTTCGCTTAAAAAGTATGTGTCATTATAATTTAATAATAATATAGTAATGAAGTCCATTACGTCAAACGTCTGCGATAAGAACCTTTCCTTAAATTTCATATTTGGATTCCTAATAAATTCTCAGAGATTATAATATCCTAAACCCAGATTGTGACGCATTTATATTTCAACAGGCATTTGGTCACTGTGTAATTATTAGTACATAAACATGATAACTTCTTGTGCTCCTTGTGCGAGTAAAAATGCTTTGACAAGCACCAAAACGTTATAAATAATTGAGTTTTTGCGTCATCTTCGACTCTGAGTGATCGCACATTAGTTGCATATAAGGAGAATTGTCTCTTTAGAAAGCCAAAACGTGTACATAAGTCTGACACCTCAAGAGAATCCAATCTATTCCCTCATAGTCTCTGGAAAGAGTGGGTAAACAGACAACATTGAACTTTGATTAGGTGAATTTTGTGGAAGCCATTAGCAAACTAGAACGACGCGACTTGGTAATTGATCTGCTTTTGATTCATTGATGAATAAAAATCACATTAAAACGATATAAAAGTTTCACAAGCCATTATATTATTATCTCAATAATATTAGTAAGGTTTTCAGAAATCTGTATGAAAATTGTTCATTAGTTTGCAAGCTTTGAAATCGTTTTCTTGTAAATACACCGAGATTTGATGGAAATAGCTGCCAGAATTACAACCGAAATTAATTACTATATGTATCAATTGACTCTATTCCTTTAAAAGCTATAAACTATTTTCAATTCAATTTTTTGAGAATACTACCAAGTGCTTCTACCAATATTTTATAAATTCAATGATAATGATTATTGTTTATAAATACTTTAATCAAAAAGCATTTTTAATGGGTTAGTAACTGCAACGATCTTTGAATTGTTGAAACCAAGAATATTTGATGAAATGCAATATAATGTATGTTATCGATTTTCACTTAGTATTATGTAATGGGCGGTCAGAAGTTTCTAAAATTGGAATTCCAAACAATTTTTTAACAACAAGATTAAATTTTGAAGTCAATTTTAATAATAAAAATCATCTTGATAATGCTCATGACCAATCCTAACGATGAGTATTTTTTCATGAACTTTTTGTTCGCTAAAAATTATAATGATCTATTAAGCCGAACTTTTTTTTTTTAAAATCAATAATTAATTCCTCTGAAGGCCTTTTTATTTACGTAAGTTGAACTGATAATAAACAGTGCATAACAATTAGTTACAAATAGTTGATTTTATCTTCCTTTAGTGGATCAAGAAAAAAGTCATTTCTATGTTCAGTACTTCGAAATAAGTTAAATATCTATACTTCCGATTAAGAAACATTTATGCGATTAAATTTGTTTCTTAATTTAATGTCACTGAATTTTCTGGCTTTCGGAAGGTTGAAAATTTAATCCGGAAAGATTCAAGCCGAAAGATTTAAAATAAATTTTGGTTCAAATTACTCATTTATAAATCTGAATAGCTACAAATTTAATTTAATAGAATCCAGAGTTTCGAATCACGTGATTTAGTTTATTACAAATTTTCATGTTCAAACATTGAATGCATGAATATGGAAATTATTTATTATACAGGGAAATAATGAGGAAGCAAATATGGATTAGTGTAGATTTATTTTGAAATCCAAATGCAGGATTTTTTGTTCTCTTGTTATGTTGAACAATTTTATCACAATTACGGAAGAGAAATGCTCTTTTAAGTTTAAATGCTTTACCTTAATGTTCAAGTTAAAAAAAAAATGTGGAAATGTCGTAATAAAACGCTAGCGTAGCACTCATTACATTTTTGATATTCTACCATTTTTTTTTAATAATTATCCGTTTCTTAATCATTTATTAAATGTGAAATACTTAAATAAATGACACGCAAATATACATAGCAAACCGGTAATTCCATTTACAAATCGTACATTTGACTTATATTAAACACCAGAAGAAATAAGTAAGTTAACGACTTTGAGTTACTTTGTTTCTCGGTCGTGATTTACCCGTCTAATACCCGGGTCACCTGACGGTGGTGATCGGGAATCCCGGGTACAAGGTTTTTTTTGATTTACAATTAACCTATTTGGTATTGTTGACGCGATCGATGAGAATTCACTACTTTTTCTAAAACAAAGGATCCTGAAAAGGTTAACATGGCACGAATTTATGAAACGTTTGATGATTCCTATTATCAGCAGGTCTTAACCTTAAAGAAAAAGGATCAAATTTACCCTTACGCAACTTTTTTTTTATAAGTATTTTTTATATTACCAATCTTTGATTAGCACATAATTATAAATGGATATGTGGTATTCTTCCTTTGAATCTTTATATCATATAAAAGGGAAAAAAAGAATGTCTTAAAAATAATGTTGATTAGAAAATAAAATAAACTTGCAGAAAAACAATACAGGTAAGTGCATATATTTGAACTTTACTGACCTGACGCGTTTATCGATTACAAACTAATATGCTGCTCCATTAGTTAAGAGGTTGAATTTGGCGTATGTAAGAAGGAACTCAAATTAAATAATTTTTCATCTAGAAAAAAATACTAATCATATTGGTAATCGAATAAAATAACAATCATCATTGTCAATCACTGTCCAATCATAGAAATCCTTTTTAGAAATCATGCATATATCGTGAAAATCTTATCGGACTTCACTAGCATATATATGGAAATTTTCCGTACCGAAATTTTTAATCCTAATTTTGACAGTTCCTGTCCTTTATAAAATTTCAGGGTTCCTAATCCCATCAGCACAGCTTTTTTTTTTTTTTTTCACATTACCATCTTCTTTTTCTTAAAAACTACTTTAATATGTCGACAGAACTCTTTGTAACATTATCAAACGATTTCAAGAGGCTGCTTGAAAATACCGATGATTATAATGTATCGATAAAAGTTGGCGAATTGCCCAAGGTTCAAACATTTAAGGCGCATTCCGTCGTTCTCCGCGCACGTTCAACTTATTTTCGACATGCTTTATCAAGAGATTGGGCTACAATCGAAGACAACACTTATGTTTTTACAAAACCGAATATTACTCCTGAAAGTTTTGAAATCATATTAAAGTAATTAAAAGCTTTTATTGGTTTTTTTTTCTTTATTTTTATTCTTACAAAAAGATGGAGAAAAATTTTTTCACAACGTTCAATTCTAATAATTTTAATTTCCAACTGTTTTTTTTTTTTTTCTTCTCACCCTAAGCTATATATATAGCGGTACGGTTTCGTGGGAAAAGTTTGATGGGGAGAAAACCTTGGAACTTCTGATAGCCGCCGATGAGCTTTGCTTGAACGAACTGTTGGAATACGTTCAGGATTATTTTATTACTAAAGGAAATGATTGGTTATTGAAAAATATTGATGAATATTGTCATACTATATTTCAACATGATAATTTTCACAAACTTCAAGAAAGCTGTATAAAAATGGTTTCAAATGATCCACAAAGATTCGGTAAACGTGGAAAATTTATGGAATGGCCAGATAAATTAGTTACCGGAATATTGAAGAGAGATGATCTTCATCTTGAAGAGATTGATGTTTGGATATTATTACTTAAATGGGGCGTATCTCAAATTGAGTTATCCTTTAATATTAAGGAATGGGCTCTAGAAGATTTTTCTAGATTAGCTTTAAAATTAAAGGATTGTATACAATTCATAAGGTTTTATCATATCTCGGGAGCCGATTTTTATAATCACGTGAGACCCTACAAATCATTACTTCCAAAAGATTTGTATGAAAATCTTTTACGTTATCACTTTAAGATGGACAAACCACCCATTTCAACAACTCTTGTACCGCCTCGTGGGATAGCGCTCGATTCCAAATTAATTGGATCAAGACATGCCGCTCTAATCGCCAGCTGGATAGATCATCAAAAAAATTTTGATCCGTTAACATGTCATTTAGTTCCTTGTCATTTTAATCTTTTATTAAGAGGGTCACGAGACAATTTTAAATGCTCAACATTTCATAGACTTTGTGATAACCAGGGACCTGCTCTTATCGTTTTAAAAGTTAAAGGAACAGGAGAATTACTTGGTGGATACAATCCAATAGGTTGGAATTCAACAGGTGATTGGATTGAATGCACGGAAAGTTTTATATTCTCTTTAGGCGATGGTAAAGATCCCGCCCATTCGCAAGCAATTTTAAGTCGTATCAAAAATTACAACTGTGCTATAGATGATTCACCTTGCATCGGACCCTGTTTCGGGATTTCCGATTTGGTCATGGTAGAATCTTCGAGACATGCAAATGGAAAATTCATTTATGATCTTCCTTGGAGTTGTATTCAAAGAAGTTACGAAAAATCCATAACCACGACCACAAATTTCACTATTGAAGATTACGAAGTATTTAAATTAATAAAAAAAGACCTAAATAATGTTGAGAGTTAATTAACGTTAATTATATTTAAGTGTGTATATATATACACATACATATTTTATTTTATTTATTCATTTATAATTTTCCTGTATTTTTTTTCTTTCTCATATTTTATGTTTGCTTAGTTGCTATAAGAAAATTTCGTTTCACCATTTGTTTTTGTTAAACCAATCCAATTTTATTTGGCGCAGCAATGTACATAATTTTAAATCGTTTATTAAATGTTTGTCAATTTCGTTATCTTTTTAAATTTTGTTTCCAAACAAAATATAAATAAAAATCAACTTTCGGTCGGTTCCGAGAGACCGCAGTACTTACGTTGACCACGGATTTAAATTTTATTGGTATTAGGTATGAGTGTTTTTTTTTTTTTTTAAAAAAAAAAAAGAAAAATGTAATAATTAAGCTCAAGAATAATTCTTGGTTCAAAAAAAAAAAAATCTGCTTCAAAAGATCACGTACGACTATCGTCATATACAAAAAAAAAAATAAAAAAAGGTACGAGTTTTTTTTTACTACTTGATAGGACATGAAAGAAGTTCAGAACAGTTACTTTTTGAGGAGAAAGCTTTCCAAAAAAAAAAAAAAATCTCGAGAGCTTTGTGAGAACAAATAGATTTTATGTATTCCTCAAGAATTGACATGCTTAATTTTATTTGTTAAAAAAAAAAAGGATGACAATTCAAAGAACTATAAAATTTCAAATATTAAAATATTAACTAAAACGTAAAATGTTTGGCATTTTTTTTTTTTAGGTCAGCACACGTGCCATATTCTCTTAACACATGACCAAAATTGCGGTGAACCAAAAATTCCGCAATCACGATCGTCGAAAAAAGAATACTGCCGAAATTTTTTGTAAGGAATTTGAAAACTCCGATCGAATGATAATTTTGGACGCGAGTATTTTTAAAAATAAGTGTCATAACGTTATTAAATATTAAATTCTTTTATTTGAAACTTTCTTCAACATATCGTTCATCCTTGTCTTTGCTTATGTTTCTTATTCTTTTTACAAAGTACAAAAATTCTACCACGCCTTTTCACGGTAAAACAACCGTCACAAAATCTTTTTACCGAAGACCTGACTTTCATTCCACGAGTAAAATTAATCGAATTAAGCAACATTGACGAAGGTTGTGGTAATGTTGATGAAAGTCGAAAAGATCGAGTAAGCTGAGTTAGGAATGACATTGTGACTAAAAAATATAAAAAGGATTTAATAATTTGTTTTTAAATATAAATCGTCAAGGAAAATGATTATTTTGACTTTTTTTTTATCTACAAAAAAAAAAAAAAAAAGTTTAAACTCACTCCCAAGTAAAAAAAAGAATTGATTAAATCTCAAAATTATAGCCCTCGAAATTCTACAAAATCAAATACTCAAGGTTTCCTTTTTTGACTACGAACATGGATAAATTGTCACTTACCTAAAAAAACTAAAAAATAAAATATATAATTTGTTATAACTTACCAATCGTATAAATTTTTGGAGTGAGTGATGTGAAAAAGAAATTTGCCTGATTTTATACAGATACTGATGTTACACCAATCCCGCATTGGTTGTACGAGATCATAGGTTTTTTTTTTTTTATAAAGTTGTTGAAGTTATAAAATTTAAACCATCTAAAGAAACTTTCAGAATGCTTGTTTATTAGAAAAATCATAAAAATTAATTTATCCTTTTTAGGATGCTTAAAATAAATAAGTTACGATCTTAATGAAGTCTTTAAAAATACATGAATAAAATAAATAAATAAATAAAAAATGAAAATAATCTTACAAAAAAAAATCATAAAAAAGTTAGAAAATATTAATACAATGGATATTGTTTAAAAACTTAATATGTAGAAATCTCACGAATAGGTTCAAAAAATGATTTCATTTCTTCTGACCAAAAAACCTATAATATTTTGTCTCAAAACTTAAGGTGCTTAAATCTTTTTCACTTTCTTTAAATAAGGTTCGTAGAAATTCATCGTAAGACATGTCTAGATGAGCGGCTATTTCGGTACCGACAACATCTTTATAATAATTCATATAGATTTCGGCAACTCGTTCTCCTATTTCACTTCCTTTAAATCCCATAGGCATTGTTTTACAATCAACTTGAAATTCTTGTAATTTATTCGTTGAATGCAAAATAAGTTGCATTTTCTCTATCAAATTTGTGTTGATTCCTCGTAATTCGACAATTTCCTTGTCTAACTTGTAAGAATATTTTCAGTGTGAATTAAGTTGATTTACAGATTATTATTATTATTATTATTATTACTTACAAGCATTAACCAGTTTGGTAAGACTTGAACGTTTTGGCGGAATTAAATGCGGTTCATTGATTTCTATCCAACCTCCGCGTTTGGTCACTCTAATTCGAAATTGATAAGATTTTTTCTTTAATTTCTTATAGCAATCATTTCTAATCTACTCGATATTATTTTCTAAATACCTGATCATTTCTTTGATCATGTATTCATATTCAACTTCTGTTACGCGGAATATTAATTCCCCCATTTTCAAAAAGTCAAATTCATCATCATCATATGGTAAACTTAAAGTATCTTTTATTATCGTTAGATTTTTTGGAAAATTTCGAGGGATAATTATATCTGATTTCACTTCCAATCCAACGAATTCTGAATTCGGGTACTCATAGGCCTTAACGAATGAAAAGAAATGTAACGGTTTATTTTATTTTATTATTATTATTATTATTATTATTATTATTATTATTTTTAAAAAAAAAAAAATAATAATAATAATAATAAAAAAATGTGTAGTAATAAACAAGTATATATTTAAATTACCATGTTAACTAACCATGTTCCTGTTCCACATCTGCAAATAGAGATTATAAATAAATGAGAAAGAAATAAAAGGAAGGAGATTAAGATTAAGATTTTTTATTTACCCTATCTCCAATACCTTTCCATTCAATGTTAATATATCTTCAACGGGGGAGGAAAAATTCGATTCAAATATATCTTTTATAGCAATTTCATAACGTGTTCTTATATTATGTTCTTGCACAGAAAAGTTAAATTCCGTATCTGATCCTTGAAGAGATTTCGTTGAACGTTGACTTAATGTACTTTTTTTCCTTTTTAATCTTCTAATCGATATCCCTTGTCCCATCTTTAATGATTAATTGCAAAAAAAAGATGTGCTCAAGAAAGATCAAATAACATTTGTCGACTATTATGAAGAATAAGAGAGAGAGAGAGAGAGAAAAAAAAGGGATAAAATTTCAATCGCTTTTTTATATAAATATTCGATCTCCTTGAAAGAAAACCAAGAAATAAATAAATTTAAATCGGAATGTAAATAAAAAAAAAAATTATTTATTCTTTTTTTTTTCATGATTTACATCAATTTTGAATATATATTATTTCAATTCCACAAGAGGATTTGTTTCCGGGATGATTTAACCACTTATTTTCAAAGGTTTTAATATGTTTACATAATTTACGACACTTCATGCTTATTAAATACAAGGTTTAAAATCCTTGAATGAACTCTCAATAATTTCAATTTAAAAAAAATTTCTCCATTTTTACTAGATTGGTTCAACTATCAAGTTTCTTGTACAATTTATATGCCTTTTATGATTTTTTTCGGGAAAATCAAATGTAACACACACTATGATTATAAATAAAAAAATTTTCCTGATGGATGTACATTATCATCATTTATCCGAAACATATTTTTAATTCCCCCCTCCCCCCACTAAAATTCTTGTCTTGGCCCTTTTTTTTTTTTTTACCAATTATCATTTATTTCCTTTGATGTAAGATTAATCGTAAATAAATAACTTAAAAAATCAGTGCGAAGGTCGCGAATGTCAATGATCTTTTTTTTGTTATATTAAAAAGTTAAAATCTATTTATAAAATACGGATTTATGAAGATTGGTCATATTTTAGTTAACCAATCCTTATTTGATTCATTTTATTTAATTAATTTCTACCAGAATAATTTATTTTAAATTAATTTTTAAAAAAAAATTTCTTAAATAATTATCTCTTTGGCCTCAATTTATTCTAAATAAATTTTATATTACAAAAATACCTTGATTATTCCATCCCTATCACCACTTATTAACATTGGATGTGGTAACTCTGTAACCTTTAAATCTGTTATACAATCTAAATGATTTTTAAGTAATTGTTGTTGTTGAACTGTAATTAGTTGATTTCTTGCAGTATGGGTATTATTTTTATTTGGTCGTTTACTATTACTGTTACCACCACCACCACCACCACTATAACTTCCTCCAGAACTACTATTGTTGGAATTTGTCATTGACAAGTTTGATGTTGCCGTGTTCATGACTCGATGAATTTCATAGTGGACGTTTATTCCATCAAATTGCTTTGTACTACGAGAATTAAAAAAATTTTGTTAATAAAAATATATATTTGTATTTGTATTTATATTTATATTTATTTATATTTATTTAAATGAAAAACTGGTCACAACTTTACCTATAAGAGGGTTTGGGTTCATCTACATCAGATCCAACAACAATGTATGACTCATCTATACGATTATTATCCCAAAATCGAATTTTACGATCGGATCCGGCCGTAATCATATAATTACAATCAGGTGGATAAATCATTGCCCGTATAGAATTGTCTGCTGAAAAACTGCCTTCGTGGGCCGTGAAAGCGCTCCTTAATATATCGCTTGGTCCAGGAGGATCTGATGCCTAAAGGAAAGACAAAACGGTTAATACAAGAAGGGTATGAATGATAATTTAAATAACTCACCTTAAACATATCCAACGAAACTCCACCCGTTTTTTCGTTCCCGGTTCGTACACCAAAAACTTCTTTACATTCAACCTTTTCTATGTCCCAAACCGATACCTCATTTTTTCCTGCTGCAACAATAACCCACCATCTTTGTTTAGAACCAGCTTGTGGATGTAGTAAAAGTTTACTAATTCGACTTTTGGTGGGATGAACCCATGATTTCAATTGAATTCTGAATCGAAGATCCCACATTGTAAAGATACCCCGAGATGTTCCAATAAGAAGCCATCTGTATTTCTTGTCTGTAACAATTGCTGTAATCACCCCATGACTTCTAGGATTTTTAAAGGTCCATACGACCTGCATTGTGCGCAAATCTAATCCGCATATATTTCCTTTGGATGTGGCATACAAGAGTATGGACTCGACGCCTAATGTAGGGTATGTATGATTAAACCAATAGAACTTGGACATTTAAGAACCAAAAAAAAATAAAACTAATAGTATACCGATTTCATAATGTTCCATCGCTACCGCATATTCTCCGTCCAAACAAGTCTCTCTAACTATCACGGGCTTTCCATATTTAGGTGAATTTGTGCCCGGAGTATAATCAATTCTGAACACATGAATACTACCGTTATCAGATGCCGCAGCAATACTGTGTGTACTATCGATGAATGTCATGCATTTGATTTTCCCTCCTTATATTAAAAAATATATATATAATAAAAAAATATTATGTATATATGTGTGTGTAAATCTTTTATTATTGAAAAATATTATACCTTGGTTATAAGTAACTCTCGATCGATTATTGAAATTCTTCACAAATCTAGAACAATCCCAAATCTTGATTGTACCATCATCTGAACATGATGCAAAGAAATTATGATCAGGTGATACGCAAATTTGGTTGATTGCACCTTTGTGTTCAGTCATATGTGCTACCAGGGTACCTAAAGTAAATCAATTATCGTTAACATAATCATTCCAGGAAATCATTTGATCATCTTTAGGAACGATCGACAAACTAACCATCAGGTCTCCAATTTGAGATCGATTTGACATTTGCTGTTCTTGAGCCTCGAGTACGTGGAATTAACATTTTTGTCACCTTTGGACCAAATTCTAAGACACAACATTGATTTAATTAGGAATCAGTTATATTTCTGATCTTTTGATCAATATGAATATTTCGTTTATCTTACCTGGCATTGGTTCAGGATTTGCTTCAAAATATAAATTATCTAATAAGTTCTTTACATTTCTGTCGTTACCCTCTTGGTTTCAAAAAAAAAAAAAATTTTTTTTTTTTTTAATATTCCTTAATAATAATTAGTAAACATTATTAATGGATATGAAACAAACCATAAGTGCTAGAAACAAATGCTTCAAGATTCCTCCTTGGAAGGCTATCTGATATAACCGAATTTAAGATAGTACCATTCGGTCCTTGCCTACTAGCTGGGTAAGGAAAAGGTACTTGCAAAGTTGCAATTGCAGTAGTAGTATTTGTACTAGTCGCAGCTGCAGCTTTAGGACTTTCAAGCTTCCCCGCAAAAGACAAGTGCCGTTCCCGCAAAGGGGTTGCAACAGTTGTTACAGAATTTGATTGATTAGCATTAGTTATATTAATCGTTAAAGGTGGAGGAATGTGTTTATTATGGTGTAATGCGGGAGAAGGTTCAGAAGCAACTGATGTTGTAGATTGATTTTTAAAATTTGACCCAAGGTTATTCCTCATTTGACCTAAACTTGTAGAAATCAATCGACTTTGATCTTCTGTTCGTAAAAGTAATTGAAGATTACTTTCACTCGAAATACGAGGAACTTGAGTACCTGAAGGTTCAATTAATGAACCCTTACTATTCTGTGCGCTTTTATGACGGTATAGGCTAATAATTAATAATTAAATTAATATTGATAAACAATAAATATAGAGTACATTCCATGATAATTACCTGGGGGTGCCTACAACATTCTTTTAATATATCAAAAAAAAAAAAAAATATGCAAAAAAATATATATATATAAAATGAGCATAAAAGCTGTGTAGAATCAAAATATGGTTGGTAGAACAACTTACTGCTTTATTAAGGTTTGGAATAAGAGAATTAGTAACTGTATGTCCATCAGCATTTGTTGGCATAACAAACACGTTGTGTGGTGTTATTCCGAGGTTTTTCAATACGATATCATCATCCTATAATTATAGAGGTTATAAATATTTTTTTTGTTTTGAATTGATGGAATGTGCAATTAAATTTACCTCTAAATTACTATTTTCGTTTGGTCTGGCACTAAATAGAAAATAAAAAAGTTATGATCAAAACCATAATTATCTATCTCTGGAAAGAAAATAATTTATACGAACTTTGATTTAGATATAGATAGTTTATATATATAGTCTCTCATAGCAGCAATTTTTTCTTCATCTTCGGGAGTCATTCCAATGTTTCTCATTTTCTCCAAATATTTCTCATCCCTATATAAAGTATAAGAGATATTTATGAGTTCAATTATTAAAGGAAAGATTTGGTCTATTTACTAGTAGACAGATAGATAGACATCACTTACTCTTCCGATTTATTAACTTTTCCGGTATTTACTGCCAGAGTAGACGTTCTTCTTGATAATAAATTAGTGACACTTGAACTACCGGGTAACGTAGCTGTAGCAACTCTGTTTGCTTTTCTTTCTTTAGCCGATTTCCAAAATGACGACTTGGTAGCTTTACTAGCCCAAGAAACTGCTGCATCAAAAATAGACCTTGGAATCTATATTATATATACATATAAATTTAAAATTTTCAACTATTAAACTTTATATATGTAAATTTATGAAAATACCGGCTCTTTAACATTCTCTAATAATTGAAGTTCGGTTATTTCGGCGATGTCAGCTTGCAGGAATGGTCTTATTATCGGATAAACTATGCACCACACATCAGTCGAAGGTAACAATTTAGCTGCTGAAGCTATAAATGCGATAGCACCTTAAAAATTTTTTTGTTTTTTAAAAAAAAAATATTCAAGATTAATGTTTAATTACGGATCTAAGCTTAACTTTGAATATTTACCATATCGAATCCATATACCAGGATGACACATTAAAGAAGAAACGATCGCAGTCAACTCCCATAATTTCATTTTTTGAAATAATCCCAGCTCTGCAAGACTTGTTAGAGAGTTTAATACCTTCTCTACCACAAATTCTTCGGAATCTAGGAAGATAAAGTTCTTGACGTCTCTATATCACAAATCTCACATTTCATATAAATCAATTATAGCAAATTATTTTATGATACCTGAGAGAGATTGAATCATTAAAGGTAAGATATATTCTTCTAAACTACGACCTCCCACGAAAGTTCCAACGCCAATGATACTCTCAAAGAATGCACTATATTTGCAGCGCATACAAGGAGGATAAATAATTAATATGGGTTAAAAATAAATTTATATGCAAAGGAATAAAGTAAACCTTCGTAACATCCAATCTCGGTCATTTAGATAAGTAATCATATGACTTAATAATTCGTCGTTGGCTTTTTGTCTACCAAAGAAAACACATAGGCTAGTAATATTGGATAATAAAGCACGTTTTACCGCACTTTCGGAATCCGTTAATAGCGTGGAAACTTGATCTTGTATTATAGACTGAAGTTCATGTAGAGTTGCATCATAGGTAGCCTCATATGAACTATCAATGTCCGTATCATTGTCTGTAGAGTTTAAAGATTCTGTCTTAAATGATTGTGTTAATTCTAGAAATCGTAAAGCAGTTTCGGCCAAAGATGTTATGCACTGAGCATATGTCATTCTGACGAGTACTTCGGGATCAGTAGCAAATTTTAGTAAATTTGGCATTATATATTCTGGAAAGATTGTTGCATTTGAAGGTGTGATCGTCTCTACCATCGACAGCTATTGTCACAAAAAAGTTATTGTTAAATTATACAATCCTTTTTTTTTTTTTAAAAAAAAAAAGGCAACGTTTAATTTCATAAATTACAAACCAAATGAGTCAGGGTTTTAACGGCATTCGCACGGACAAGACCGACGTCATCTCCTAAAAGAGCAATCAAATAAGGAACTAACCTATCCAATTTAAATTCGTCTTCCAAATGCTGTCCGATAGCGAGCAACATATCCAGAGCATGAAGTTTAGAGGATGGATATGCAGTGTTTCGAATAGTAGCACATATTAAAGAGAGGAAAATTAGTGCCCCATCATCTTTCGCATCAAATTTTAAATTAGTTCCATGTTTAATTTGTAACTTAATAAACTAAATAACAATTATAAAAAAGAGTACCGGCATGTTTCTCTCTTTTTTTGCTAGCTGTAGTTGGATCATAATTTGGTATATGAAGTTGAACTAAAAAAGGAGGCTGGGGGTTATAAAAAAAAAAAAAAATAATAATAATAAGAAAAAAATCTATAAAGATAATTTGAAATGGGGGTTTTTTTTATTCTTATAGGTAAAACATATATGTACCGTTACGTTTTGCGTTGAAACTTGACACATAAAAAAAATAATAATAATAAAAAAAAAGATTAAGAATGTTAATACTAATTTATAATAGAATGATCCTTTATATTAAAATATCCAAAACATGTAATATATCATACTTTCAATTGGGCGAGAACTTTCTCCAAATTTATCACCACGTCCTCGAACAACTACAACTTCGGATTCTGGCGAGGAATTATCGCCAAAAAATCCAAGGAAAAAGGCGATTTTATCAAATTCATGATAGATTCTCTCAATCTTCTCATCCGCATCAGTATTTACAATTGTATTATTGGGCTCATTTAACTCATATCTTTTATTAGAGAAGGTTGTATTAGTCGCGGAGGAAATAAGTCGTCTTGGATGGGATTGATTATGCGGATCGGTAACTGACCCAATATATTGATGAAGGAAAGTATAAAAATATTGTGGAAATGCTGTCCCACGCCTACAATAAGTAAAGAAATGAAAGACTTAGATAAACTGAATATTACATAATTCAATTCACAATCATAAATTAATACCATTCTTGAAGATATTGTTCTGCTGTATATCTTTGGGATGGATCTACATTAATCATATGTTTTACCATGGCCTAAATATAAGTCATGACAACGATGCAACTTAATAAACGCGACCTCTTCGTTTTGATTTAACAAAGATTAAAAAATGACGTACCTTTATATCTTCATCCTCGATCTTTTTTAAATATAATTCAGGATCATACTCGCCAGATCTGTATTTAAACAGCTGTGAAAGGGAAAATATCGGCGCTCCCTCTAAAAAAAGTTCAGCAATTACACAACTGGAGTAGAAATAAATTGCAAAAAAAATCCAACCAATTATGATTAATAATTAATACATCATATATTTAATAAATGATCACTCATTGAAAGTATCAAGTAAAATAATATACCACACCCTAAAGAAAAAATGTCCATTGCAGGTGTTATTGCTCCATCCTTCTCTCCAAATTCCAATTCATTCTGATCATAATTATAAATTCGTTATACATTATTAGATGATTAAGATTATTATTATTATTATGTTAATAAATCAATATACTGATTAACTAAATTCGCAACCTTTCTTCTATCAATTTCACTCCCAGGTTTATAAAATCTTTCCGGAGCAAGATAACATGTTCTTCTTGATGAAGTATCGAAAAAAAACGAAAAATCTGCAGGATTATCCTATCTCCGTCAAAAATAATATCAGTAAAATCTAAATATATATGTGTGTATTTCACAAATTAATCAAATAAACAGATTAAACAAATAAAATAAATACCTCTGGAAGATATGTAGGTTTATATCCAGCAAAATCCGCTAAATATACCCAATTCCATGAAGTCACAAGAACATTCTCTGTCTTAATATCTCCATGATAAATCTTACAAAAATTAAAACAGATCAGAACAAAAGTTCAATAAATTTGTTCATTTCTAATACGAAAATGCAAATTACCGCTCTGGTGTGAGCATCATGTACTCCACATAATATTTGATACGTGATCCATTTTTTTTCTATTAGATTCAAAAATGGACGTGTGCTAAAAATAAATAAAAGGTTACTAAATATGCATACAACAATAAAATTGAAAAGAATTGATTATTATTATTTTTTTTTAAAAGAAAAAACATTACGCTAAACCTTATTCGGTCATATAAACTACTGAAAAAGAATTGTCTTATTAGATATCCGGCCTTTTCTGTTTCTAATATTCGTTGATATGCAAACGCGTTTGGAACTTCCGATAAGACATCTTTCTCCTCTAAAAAAGATAAATTTAAAAATAAATTTTTTGCAAGCCAAACAAAATTATTTGATAATATACAAATTTGAAACATACCTTGAAGTGCTTTTACAATATTTGATAAGGACAACCCAGGTTCTGGTTTAATAAATATTTTTACAACAACGGCACCCTCTTTATGACGACAACGAATAGTTTTCATAAAACGTGCACTACTTAAGCTGATAAGTGGAAAAAAATATCAATAGTGTCATACAATTTTATTTATAAACGAACGAGTACGATTTGCTTGCTTGATTACCTCCTTTCATATTGAATATCTCCAAGCTCACTAACGTAACTATCAATTCCCGCAGTCGCTATCGAAGCAGTTGTACTTGAAATGTTATTCCCCATAGTAGTTTATTTATTAAGAATTAAAAAATAAAAAAAATAATATTTCACGAACAACTTTCATAACTGGAAAAGTTTTAAATAAAATTAAACAGCCAATGAGAATTAAATAGTTCATGTATCACGGAAGTAGGTATTTTGTCACAGATCATCACGAAAATCAGTATTTTTTTTTTAAGATTAAGTAATGAAGGGGGTACCATTCACGAATATCGTGTAAAACGTTACACTAATTTTGTTGTTGGAGAAATAAAAAGCCCGTTTACAAAAAAAAAATTTCTATAATGGATATTGCAAATCTTTTACTGGTAAGGTTTTTTTTTTTTTTTTTCTTTTGGCTTTTTTTCTTTTTTTTTAAAAAAATTTTCCACATTAATTACGTTAACATTCTCTTAATATAATACTCGCGTTTACGCGTGAAAATTTTGTTAGACCGAGTCAGACGAACAAACGGCAACTTTACCGTCGTCGTCTTGGAATTTCGAGACACCAAATAATTCACCATCAAATGATCCTACAACAACCAATTCACCCGCCTTAAAAATTCCGCGATTATCTCCGGATATTATTTATCAAATCTTGCAAAATTTTAAGTTTAGTCGTTCATCCCTCAACAAATTCCTTCGAATCGACCAAACGTGGTGTCATATCTCTTTGAGCTTCCTGTGGCAATGTCCTTTTAATATGTCTTTGAAAGTAAAAAGCTCCATTCTTTTAATTCGAACTTTACTTTCTTTTCTTTCAGAGCAAGAGAAATCCGAATTAACTCGTAATAATATTGAATTATCAGATTATGAATCAGATTTTAGCAAGTCGAAAATATATAATTATCCGGATTATATTCGAACTTTCGATTTAAAACATTTTCGATTATCGATGTTACATTGGATATGTTATTTACAAAATCATCGGAGCGATGATGTTTCATTAATCATGGAATTAAATAAAATATATAATGACATTCCTACCAATTATTCTTCGGTCAATTTAGCGAGTGAAATCATTTATGGTATGTTATTCAGGAGATCTAATGATCACAAATTACAACATTTAATTATTGAAAATGATCCTTATCAAGACATAATCACCTCCAATCATTTGATTCATAAAAGCATAATAAATATTAACGGAGGGGTTGAGGATAATGCTTTATCACGGTTGGAGAAATTCGAATTTCATTATAAAATTGAAAGACGACTTGATGAGGATTTACTTATTAATAGGATCGTGAGAATGTTTGAAAAGATGAAAGAATATGTAAAGAGTTTAAAATGGTTAGAAGTGAACATTAAATATGAAGGAGGTCGAATTCCAAAGATTGGAAAGGCGTTAATGGAATTTATAGAAGGACAAAGAAAGATGGAAGTGTTGGGAATTCATGAGTTTTGGATGCGAGAGGAGAGTGAAATGATTTATGAAAGGATTTGTAAAAGTCAACAAAATAGTTTAAAGCATGTTAGATTTTGTGAATCGTGTAATTTTAAAGAATTGATAAAAGGATTAAATGAGTGTAATAACTTGGTTACCTTGGAAATTTTAAGATTATTTAAATATGATTATTCCAGCGTTTCAGTTCCGGATAAAGAATTTGAGGGGAAAACATTAAGCATACGGAATTTTTATACGTGGGATATTAATGATGCTCCAGATATATCAAATTATTTCATTCAAATTTTCAAAATGTCAAATAAGAATTTAAAAACATTAACATTAACTTATATAACTTCAGATATTATTATAACACTTGTAAATTTCTGTCCTAATGTTACACATTTGTCTCTGTCTTTTTTTCAACACTTGGATTCAATCCCTGATTTACTTTCACTTTTGCTTCCTGTGTTACCTCTCGAGCAATTTTTTTTAAAAATCGATAATATGAATTCGGATTCTGACATTTTCACACAAGATTATTGGAATAGAATTTCAATATCCATTCCTGATTCCGTAATTCATTTAGGAATCGATTTTAAAATTGAAAGCAATATGTTCAATAAATTCTTAAAGGAATGTAAAGCTCAATTAAGAACAATTTCATTATTTCAAGGATATATGCTAAATAGACATTATTTACAACTTATAGTTCAATATACAAAGAATTGTAATCAATTATTGAACGAATTGAGATTTTCTTGGAATCCTGATGAGATTGGATTTATATCAAATTCCAATTTGGGAGATGCAAAGGAGTTTATTAAGATTATTGATAAGGTCGAGTCCTTTAATAAACCATTCTATGGTGAGTTTTTTGATAAATTGTCACATACTAAAAATAAAAAAAAATAAAATAAAAAAGAATAACAATTTTAAAAGGAAAAAAAAAAATTTTCTAAATTCTTGTATTTATTCCTCATAGATATAAAGTTAAGTGTACCAAATGTAAAAGATCAAGTTCTTACACCTTCCTTGTCTTATAAAGTAGGTTCAATTAAAACATGAATATTTTTTTTATTTCTTTTTTTTGTAAAAATTATTTATTGAAAACTTTTTTTAGAAACATAAATAATAGTTTAAATACAATTTCACACGTGTCTCAATAATTTTCCCAGCCAACTTTATCCAATTTTTCAACTTTAGTTAAAACTTCATTTTCTTGTCTTTCCATAAATTCTTGCATTTTTTGTAAATAATTAGGTATAAAAGAACCTAATTGGCGAACCGCCAATAATCCAGCATTTGTTGAATTATTGATTGCTATTGTTGCTACAGGAATTCCGCGCTATAGTCAAACAAATTTATCGTCAATACAAGAAAATAAAAAAAAAAAAAAAAAAAACACAATATTTATTCTTAACTTACAGGCATTTGAACAATACTATAAAGAGAATCAACACCATCCAAAGTTTTGCCTTTAACAGGCACACCGATAACTGGTAAAGGGGTCAAAGCGGCTACCATGCCAGGTAAATGGGCAGCACCACCTGCACCAGCAATTATAACTTTTAATCCTCTAACGTGAGCATCTTTTGCATATTGTACCATTCTCATTGGAGTTCTATGAGCTGACACAATGGATAATTCAAATGGCACATCAAATGATTTCAATATTTCGGCACAAGGCTTCAATGTAGGTAAATCCGAATCACTTCCCATGATGATTCCAACTAAAGGCTGAATATTACTCCTTGTTGTTGTTATTGAACTATCATTTTCATCAATCATCTTAAGAATTGGATTGATTCTTTCGTATAATTGTGAAATTGAATCTGCAACTATCGTTATGTGTCCCATCTTTCTGCCTTTCCTACATTCTCTCTTTCCATACAAATGAATCGTCGCTCCTGACGTTGTCAAAGCTTCTACGCATGGGCTTAAAGTTTCTTGTAGGTTATCTGACTTTCCAAGGACATTAATCATTGCTGCCGCTGGAACTTTAAGAGACGTGCTTCCTATTGGCATATTTAGTATGCTTCGAATATGATTCTCATATTGTGAAGTTTGACATGCTTCAATTGTATAATGTCCAGAATTATGTGGCCGTGGTGCAATTTCATTAACATAAATTTGTCCTTACAATCATGAAAATAAAGTTAACTCCCTTGTAAATAAAAAAAAAATTTTTTTTTGTCTATTCTCTTTCGCTTACCATCTTTCATCAAAAACATTTCAACTCCAAATACTCCGCACCCTTTAAAAGTTAAGACTGCTTTTTCTGCAATTTCTTTGGCGCGTCCTAAAATGATACTATCATGTTGAGCTGGAGCAATAACCAAATGACAAATATTTTCCTTGTGAACTGTTTCTACTACAGGATAACTCTTCATCACACCATCAACACTTCTAACTACCATAACGGCCAATTCTTTAACGAACGGTGACCATCTTTCGGCATATAATGGATTTTTAAAATTTCCTAAAGTTTCTAAAGCTTTGGTAATGTCATCCTCAGATTTTATTATATGATTTCCTCGACCATCATAAGCTAAAGTTTTAGATTTTAACATTAAAGGATACCCAAATTTCTTTACTGCAATATTTATTGAATCCCTATCAGAAATATCAATAAAATCTACAACGGGTATTTCATTTTGTGATAAGTGTGTCTTTTGTAAAAATTTATCTTGAATGATACGAATTGTAAAAGGATGTGGATGTATTTCAATCCTTTTTTCGGAAAATAAAGTTTCTAAAGTTTCAACGTTGACGTGTTCGATCTCTATCGTTAATATATCTACATTTTGTGCAAGTTCTTGAATTTTTAGGGGATCTTTGAAGTCACCATGGATATGTCTTGACGTTGCTTGAATTTGTTTTGCGGGAGAGTCAACAGGGCTATCAAGGATTGTTATAGATATGTTTAGACGAGACGCTGCTTCTACTAGCATACGACCGAGTTGTCCTCCTCCTAAAACTCCTATTCTCTTGGAATTCATTTTTTTTTTTTTAAAAAAAAAAAAAAAAAGATTGTGTCATGTATAATCACATGTGACGAAATCGATCCCGAGATTTTTCTCAAAAAGAAAAAAAACTTAATGGACAGGACATTTTTTATTATTTTAAGAAAAATCAAATTTTTTATGGTTTAAAACTATTTTATTAAACATCAATTTAATGAAATTTTTTTAATTAAATTAATAAATATTATAAAAGTCGTATGAATACAAAGATATATTATACACTCCCTTTTTTAAATGATAATAGATAGCCATGGAACCTATGAAGTTAACAGCAGCCCTTTCGTCAAATCTCGATCATACAGATAAATTTATTAAAGAGAACAAGGCACTGAAACAAAAAGTTGATGCATTAGAAAAAGAAAATATACTATTAAAAAAATCCATATATGATTTATCTGTAAAGTTTTCTGCTTCTTCCCATCAAAGAGCTAGTCCTTTTATTATTGATCTAGAAGCTTGCGGAGTTGTTCCGCAGGATAACGGTGGTGGTAAAGAGATTAGCTTAGAGAATTCTACTTCTGGTGGGATGAGTATACGCTGAGATTGAAAATTTGCTTAAAGAGATTTTACTATACTTTATGTAAATTAATACGTAACATGTAATGATATAGGTAATAATGCGATTGAAAAACATCATGAAGGAAGAACCTTTCATCTAAGATCTGAATTTAAGGTTTGAAGGAAATGTTCATGATTTCAAACCTGATAAAAGGTGAATCTTATATACACATATTTTATTAGGGACACGGAGGAGCAGTTCACGCGATTCATTTTTCACCATGTGGAAAAATGCTTGCGTCTGGATCATTTGACAAAACCATTCGAATATGGGATACCATATCATTGCAAAACGAGGTATATTTGATGATTGTCAATTAATTGACCACTTTTTTTTTATTTTATTTATCAATTTTTTTTTTTTATTTAAAAAAAAATAAAGCAAGCATGCTTAAAAGGACATATGTTAAATATATCAGATGTTTGCTGGTCTCGTGATTCAACATCATTATTATCAGGAGCTTATGATCAAACATGTAAATTGTGGGATGTAGAAACGAATAAATATAATTCATTTGAAAACGAAGGATTTGTCCAATGTGTCATGTTCAATCCTGCAGGTATTCTTTTCTAATAAGAATAAGAAGAAGAATAATTATAATGCTTTTTATTTGAGTTTAATTTTTAATTTTATTATTATTATTATTTATTTTTTTTTTTTAAAAAAAAAAAAAAAACTATAAAATAGATAATAATTTGTTTGCAAGTGGAACTTCAAGAAAGATATTAACATTAATAGATATTCGTAAACCTGAAAGTGCACTTGAATTTAAAAATGATGGAATGATAAATTCACTTTATGTTTGTCAAGATGGGCAAAATATTATTACTGGAGATTCCAACGGATTCTTAAAAACATGGGATATCAGAACCGGTTTGTAAAAGCGTCGTCCTTTATCAGTTTATATAAATATTTATATAAATTTTTTCACAAATAGGAGACGCATTAGAATCGATTTTGAATGAACCAACAAGAAAGCCGATCTCACATATTGCTGTTTCAAAGAGCCTTGGTAAGGATTATAGAAATGTTTCACGATTGAATTGTTTAATCACGCCGCTAAATTCAAACGAATTATTACAGGTGATGAGGAATCTAGGTATATGGCAGTTAATAGTTACGACAATGGTAAGTTCATCATATTGAACAAGGAAAACTTTTATTTAATTACATCTAACATAAAATGTTTCAGTTATAAGAATATATGATCGTGGAATTGAGCCACCGAAATCTCAACTGAGAATCGTTCACGTATTGAAGGGCTACAAGAATAAAGGATGGCCCATAAGGTCCTCTTATTTCCTCGGAAAAGACTGTGGGAATTTTTCATAAGTTTAATTATATGTGTTTTTATAATTCATATACCATACTTAATTGTCTTATTCAATGGTTAGATCAATATTCAACAGTACAAAGGTCAATGCATAATGACATTTTTGATGCTGGGGATCCTAAAACGGACCCCGCGGATAACGTTACGTAAGGTTTATTTAAATTACCTGTTACCTAATACCTTGATCGTGTAAATTATATTCATTAAAATTTTCTCATTAGATATGAGAGGGACAAGCCATTGGAAGCAAGTTTATTGTTGGCCACGGGAAGTGCAGATCCGTACGCGTACCTGTATAATGTTGGTGGACCAGAGGTAACTTGAACCGGAAAAGTTCTTTTCAAGTAATAATAATGATAATAATTATTATGTATTATAGGGTACCGGTGAGTTGATTCAGAGATTGGAAGGACATACGGACTTTGTGTATGCGGTTGACTTTCATCCATTTGAACCGTTCTTGGCTAGTTGTTCTGCTGATTGTACTATAAAAGTTTGGGCTCCTAATACAAAAGGAAAGAAAAAAGGTTAAAATAATATAAGTTTCTGTGTAATTTATTTAACCTAATTTGTATTAATTGTATGCAATGTAGATCATAATTCATAATTACTATAGTTACAAAAATAGTCCTGAAAAGCAATATAATTCAACCATTGTTTCTTTATTAAGTAAAGAAGGAATGAATTTGTTAAAAAAAAACTTTTAACTGCGTTAATCTCAATGCAAAACTACCATTATTGCTTTAGGAGGTAACTCAAGATTACATTACGGTTTCTTTGTTTGGATCATCCAATTTATTACATTTCATCATAATATTTTTCTTTATTTTTTTCGAAACATTTCGATTTGTAATTAATATTTCTAAAATTAATGAATATCATTGATAAATATGATTGGTTACAATACAAAGATCGCATTATTTAGCTCTATTTCTATATAGATATTGTAAAACCTATCATTATCATTATTGAATATTATAAAATCGCGGATATTCCGAAGTTTTTCGGATTATTCCGAGAATTTCAATTCGATCAATAAGATATATTATATCTAAATTTGGCTAAATTGTTAAAAGTTAATATTTAGTCAACTAGGTCAACAAAGATATAAAAACTTATCCTTTTTTTTTAGGTTCGAATCAAGCTTTACAAGGAATATAAAACTTCCTTACTCTAGCAATATTTTATGACACTACCATTTGGGATTCCAAATTCTCAATTTTTTTTTTTTTTTCTTTCTTTTCTTTTTTTTTTTTTTTTTTTTTTTTTTTGGAAACCGAATTTCCATCCTTTCTTCATTGAAAAGTTAACAAAATCAATATGCCAAAGAAAGTTACTAAAAAGGGTCGAGACGAGATCAAGAACCAAACTTTAACTCAAAAATCAATTTCGTCAATCATCTCGTTACATTTATCACAATTTCAACGCACCTACGATATTATTCCCACCAATCTTTCTCTCGAAAAACTTTTGACTCCTTCTCACACCAAACCTTCACGCAGAAATAAATTTTCATTACGCTCTCCAAACGGGTTCATCCTCTACCGAAAAGATATTCAACAAGCAATTATTGAAAATGATTCAAATGCGACATTTGAAAAAATTTCCAATATTGCATCAGAAAGATGGAAAAGCGAGTCGGAGGAGAAAAAGAATTTTTTTAACTTGTTGTCAAAAGTCGCATATCTTATTTATTTGGATATATGTGAGTATTACGTGAGACAAGATAAAGAACGAAAAAAAGAAAATATAAAAATTGATCGTTGCGAAATGAATAGACCATGGATGCAATCTTCAATTTTCCCAACCATGTCAATTTTGCCAAATTCTCTCCATTATGAAGAAGCAACCGATAATGTACTCATTGAATCTAATCCAACTTTAGATCATACATTTTATGATAAAGATATTATTCAAGAAGTTTCTACAATTTCATCTGAAAATATTGATCAGCCCATTTCTCATTCAACCGATTCTTTAAATTTTAATCCTTCATTCTTCTCAAACGTTAATGAAAATTCCGCGAGTTATCATAGTAATAATCATCAAGTTTTGGAAATCCCATCTATATCTGACTTTCCCTGTCAAATGCCTTCATATTGCGCTAATGAATATATTATGAATCTCAATTATGAAAATAATGCGTACATTTTTAATCAGGATTCTTCTTTAGTTTTTCAAGAGAACATTGATAATAGTACATTATATGATGTTAGTAGCGTTATTGATAGTGCGATTGATGAAACCTCTCCGAATTAATACCATCATTTTTTTTTTTTTTATTTCCGTTTCCTTTTCTCATTTTCTCTTTACCTTTTCAATATGATTTATTTACATTATATAATAAAAAGACATGATAATAACCAAAACAAACTATTTTTATTTTTTCCGTGCTATAGTGCTTCTTATAATCTCTGCGTTCATGATAAATCGAAAGTTGCAAAAAAAATTAATGCTTTTTTCATTGATGGATAAATTTTTGATTTGTGGAAGCTGTAGATCATCCTTCCTAGTAAACTTCATTCCAAATTAGGATAAGTCATAGCACTTCGCATGGGCAAGGTGAACATTGGGGAGATTAACTTTAATCTATCAGTCATATGATCACATGCATAGAAATTCGCCATTTTTTTTTGCAACCATCAGATATTTTTTAGTAGAAAGCGAAATGGCTCATTTTCCACATCTCAATTATAATGAACTTATCCCAGGTAGCGGAGGAATTTTGACCTATGTGTATAGGTGGAAAATTACAAATTGGAGCGAAATACGACCTTATATGGAACATACCAGTACACCTTTTAGTGCCGACGGTTTACAGTGGTCGGTATCGATTTAATTTATTATCTTCCATATCTTTAATTCAAGTTATTATTAAATGATTAAACAATTAAAATGAACTTGATTATCAAGGGTTTTTAAGGTATTTCATCTGCTAATCATATGTATATCTTTTAATCCTTTCATCTAAATTTAACAATTATCATTTTTAACTATTATTAGTTCTATAAGGGACGACAGAAAAACCCACAGGTATATTTATTTGTCTTAACAATAATCGAAGTATTACTTTTGATTTTAATTAATCATTCGTTATAATGATGTTGTGTGTAAAGGCTTTGTCATTATATTTAGGAATTTTAGAGACAACACCGGGATGTCTTCGTGGAATTAGGAAAAAAGTCAGTATCATCTTTGTATTGGAGAACTTGAGAACGAAAGGAATGGATTTCGGAAAAAGTATGTTTAACGTAAGAATTAGAATTACTCTTTAATACGTTATCAGTTTTAAGCTAACGATCTCTAAAAAAAAAAAAAAAAATAATAATCGTGTTCCTTTGGAACGATAAGTGGAGTTGCCTGTTTGGTTTTGTGATAGTACGTATATGTTAAAGTACGTAGTTGAGAATTTTATCACACGATTCATACATATATAATTAAATATTTTGGTATGATTTAGGACATTCCACATGGGGTGAGGAAAATCTTACGTCGCTAGATGAAATGGACAGGTGATCAAAAGTTTTTTTTTTTCTTTGTTGTTTAATTTACATTGACGTAATTTTATTTAATAGATTTATTAGCAATGATACGGTATCCTTATGTGTAAAATTTGAGATTCAGGAATCTATTGTAGATTCACCACCAAAAATTAGCAATACATTTGATAAACTAGTAAACTCTCCACGTTTTTCAGATGTCACATTTCGCGTAATTGATGATAATTTTCGCGAGAAAGTATTCTACGCGCATAAAGGAATTTTAGCAACTAGTTCTCCGGTATTTGAAGCAATGTTAACAAACGGAATGAAGGAATCTTTTGAAGATGAAATTAAATTATGTCAAGCAAACCATTCGGCGTTTCTTTCTTTGTTAACTTTTATATATACTTCTCATGTAAATATTGTGTCTTTACGTAACGCGGAAAATTTATTGGAATTAGCTGATAGGTTTGAGATTATCTATGTGCGAGAGGAATGTTTGCGTTATTTCCGTTTAGAACTGAACGTTGATAATGTATGGGGAATTTGGGCCATTGCAGGTAAATTATTTAATCTTTATCTTAATATAAATTTTATATAATACCATTCCAATCATAATATATTCATTTTTTGCTTTATACAATTACTCAACATTTCAAACTATTGATGTAAAAAGAAAAATATTGTTGTGCTAAAACATCATCAACATGTCGTGATTTTGTCGCATTGTATTTCGATAATCTTTTGGATAACTCATCTACGTTACATGCTGATCCAAATATTTTGCAACTTGCACTTGAAAATGATGAAGCAAATGTGAATTCTGAAGAGAAAATTTATGAACTAGTTGTACGTTGGGCGAATCATTCATCCTCTTTAGATCCAAATGTACCGCCGTCGGAGAATTCTTCAACCATTCAGGTTGATGATTTACCACCACCATCTCCTTCAACTTCAACTTCAACTTCAGCATCAGCATCAACATCAACATCAGCATCGATGCCATCAGAACTGCCCGAAAATTTTGAAGATGCTGTAAATAACATTCAGTCAGTTGACATTAACGGTGAGAATCTTTATGAAACAGAAAATGACGATTCAAATAAATTTCCCAAGCCATGGTGTGGCGATAGACTTGCAGCACTTCCTTCTTTATTGAAATGCGTTCGATTTCCTGTGATGAAAAAACAATATATTTATGAAGAAGTCGAAGGAAATCCTATTGTAATGGCAGCAGATGGGATGAAAGATCTGGTGAGAATTATAATCTTTTTATGATTGTCCTTTTAATAATTTTTTTTTAAAGAAATTTTAAATGTATTGAAAATATATTTAGGTAATTGAAGCATATCGACATCTGTTATTGCCTGATGTTACAAATTCTACTAACAGAGTTAAACACCGAAAACGTAAGGGGAGCGGAAAATATTGATACCTAATCAATGAATGGAATTGCCACCAACTCCCCCAATTTGTTTCAACACGTGAACTCTGTTAAGCGTTCATTTTTTTTTCCTGAATTTGTAAAATAAATAAATTAAATTTCTTAATACGGTAACTCTTTACACGTGATCTATAATTATTAAAAATGAGACAAATAAGGATTTGCCACGATAACCTAAAACCTTTGGCGTGACTATCAAATAATTAGTTGCGATATAAAAACTGGAGATTTCCTATCCTATTTATTTATTTTTTTTTAATTTTATAAGTAATGGCGATTCCTGTCGAAGAATGGTATTATGAAGTTCCAATAGTTACAAGAACGTACGTGACTGCTGCTGTATTAACGAGTTTAGCCGTGGTATGTAAAAGTTTCAAACGCTTGGAAATTATTAACAAATAAATTTAATTTGTCGTTTTTTTTTTTTTGGTTCAAGCAAGTAGGTTTTGTAAATCAATTTCAACTTTATTTCAATTTTGATAAAACATTCTATGATCGCCAGGTAAATTTTTTTTTTTCCTTCCAATTACATATTTTGACAATGATTTGAATTTAATAATAATTTATTATTTTGTTAGTATTGGCGATTGATAACGACATTCTTATACTATGGACCATTTTCACTTGATTTTTTATATCACATGTTCTTTTTGTATCCTTAATTATCATCATTTTTTCCTTAAAAAAAAAAAAAAAAAGCATTGAAATCTTTTATAATATTATAAACCTTGACGATTAAATTCTCATTGAAAATAAGAGTAAGATACAGTAGAATGTTAGAAGAAGGATCATTTCGTAATCGTACAGCTGATTACTTTTGGTTATTTTTCTTATCGGCAGTAGCACTTCTAGTTAAGCATCTTAACTTTATTTATTGATTGGTTTATTATTATTATTTTAAATTAACATCTCGTTTACTTTTTTTTTTTCCTTCTCATTTAAAGCTTTTATCACCATTATCCAATGTCCCATTTCTTGGGTATTCACTTGCATTTACATTAGTATATATATGGTCGCGAAGAAATCCATTTATAAGGTTAAATTTTGTTGGACTATTTGTATTCAGTGCACCATTTTTACCATGGGTATTGCTTGGATTTTCCTTGTTATTAAATAATCATTTTCCAATGAGTGATATGATGGGCATTGCTGTTGGTCATATTTATTATTTCTTTGAAGATGTTTGGCCATTGGAAAGAAATAGTGGCGGTAGACGTTGGTTAAAAACTCCCCAAATCATGTAATTATTATTATTATCTTTATTTTTATCTTTATTTTTTTTTTGATTTCATTTTATCTTTTTTTACAATTAAGACATTATTAATTTCTAAAGTACTTTCCCCTTTTCCAAGTGTACGATTGTTTGATAGAATTCAAGAGAATCCAGCTGTACAACAGGAGGAAAACAATCTTGTATTTGCTGATAATGAATTTAATCGTGGTGATCCTAATACTATAGAAAATCAACCTGGGATAATGGAAGGTGAAATAGCTCCTGATCAATAATTAGCACACGAGTATTTTTCAAAGTGGAGAAATAATTATTATCGTATATTTATTTGTTAGTATTAAAAAAAAAAACCATGACAATGAATCAAAACAATTATTATAGTTATAATATCAATTGAAAGACATGAACAATATTAAAAATGGATTAAACTGAACATGTATTTGTTTACGTTAGGAAGGAAAAAAAAAAATTGTATAGCATACATTATTTACGTAATTCTTACTTATTTTAATAATTAGAGATTGTGATTAAGAATATAATTACAATTAAATTTATTCAAAAATAATAAAAAATAATAAATAACCTTATTTAATTTCTTTAAATATCTTATACAATTTAGTGTTTAGAAAAATAACGTCAAAAAAAAGACATCTATCTATACTACATAGTGTTTTAGAAACATTGATTATTTAAAAAGGTTGAAACGTTTCCAATTGTTCCAAAAAGCTAATTTCTTAAAGTCTTAGCGGTACCATTGGTGGCATCCCATCATCATCTCTTGATCCATGATGAGCATGCCCTCTAACAAATCCACGAATTTGTCGAGATGGTGTTTTTTCCTTTTGTTTTTCTCCATGAGTATGTTCTGCATCGTTACAAATTGGACATTTCGGTGGGTTATTCAGAGAATTAAGTACAATGTTGTGCCGAACTTTTGATCCAACTAACATTCTACTGTTACTGTCGGGTGGATTAGGTAAAGTCTCGTTACTTAAAAGACATGCTTCATGAAAAGCATGACTGCAAAAGAATACAATTGTAGTTGAAACAGAATCGGAGGAGATAGCTGTAGATTTATGTCGTTAGTAAGAATTCTTATTGTCTTAATAAATTTTGATAATAATATTAATTGAATATTTACCTTCTTTAATTATAGGGATAGAACATATAGAACAAGTCAAATCATCTAAAAATGTGAGAGAGATAAATAAGTAATATACTATACATTGAATATTAGGGTAATGAGATAGAGATATATAAAAACCTTCGCATTTGATGCCACGCTTTTGCGCTTTATTTAGTTGATCAGCCATGGATACACTATCACTCACTAAGATTTTCTGACATCCTTCCCTTAAGGATGCCTAAATACGTCAAATAAAAATTATTAAGGTATAATAGAAAGAAGATTAAAACTGAATATTAAAAACAAACCTGTAAATTGAAATCTTGAAGAACTTTAATTAAAGCTTCTTTAAGACCAGGAATTTTCAGCCTATTAGGGATTCTCTTAATCAACCCTATCGGATCGATATTAGTGCCTCCAAGGTTTTCCAACAATCCGATTATGAATCCTGCATACAATTTCATAAGAGAAAGAATTTTAGTTGGACATTTCATAAATTCACAAAATTACATGATGCAAACGTAAATTAAATAAATATAAATATGACATTACTCGGTTTATCTAGTGAATATTTTAATAAATCTTCCCATAATATGTCATCATCTTGTTCTTTTGCAAAATCAATTGCCTGAATTTGGAAATATGTTAAATACCTTCAAAAAAAAAAAAAATTTACATACCTATCCTCAAATATCACTAATTAACTTGACTTACTTGCTGAACGTCATGTAACCTTTCAATAATTAACATAAGTGCCTCTTTATTATTGCCCATGCGACCAAGTATGAATACCATTTCTGGAACCAAGTCTCTCTGTTCACATACTTTATATGCCTGAATATAAAATACTATAAAATTAGGATACAATTTAAAATTTATTTAATATCAAATAATTAAGTTGTCATTCATACCTTTTCCAAGGTATAATAATTACTAGATTTCAAAAAATCTTTCAATCTAGGATAATCAAATTCAGCATACAATTCAATTTGAAGGTCATGAAATTCGTAACCCGCATGATGATCTTTTATAAAGAGAGCATCCAAATATATGTGCATAAAGTTGCGTTTGTTCTCCAGTTGACGTACAACGTGAGCGATCTAGTTCAATCGGCGATAAAATGAATCATATATCGATATTCAAATAAAAGTTATTTTGAATTCTTACCTTAACATCATCAGTATTTTCTATTAACAATTGCACCGCTGGCATCTCAGTACGCTTCTTTCGTTTAATCTTGACAGAAGTCTTACTTGGATCCTGATTTAATTTTGCGATCTCTTCATCTTGTACCTTCATAGCCTCTTCAAACAAATGTTGATCGAATTCCATAAGCAGAAAAACTTTGTCTTGGACTGCTGAAAATAAATTATATTCTCGTATTAAGTCAAAGACGTTAGGCCTAAGCAATCGGAGATTATAATCAAGAGCTTTGTCTGGTTGGCGATTATAAGCGTATCTGGAATGGAATAAAGACAATCAATCAATCGTCACTTGTAAATATCATTTATAATTTTGAAATAATTTCAATAATTCGATTCTTTAAGAACCACGATAACGTACAATTCGGCCAAGCATTCCATCAGAATTTTATTGTCCTGTTCTTTTTCAAAAATACCTTCAACAAGGACGATAACACTTTGTATATCATAAATATCCGATGGCCAACTCATTATTGTCTTTAGCAAAGCCTGTAATATAAATAAATAAATAAATAAATAATATATTGGAAAAATAAATTATAATCATTATCAAGGCTACCTTGTGATCATAATTTAAGAAGTGAGCCAAAACCATTTCGTAAACTGTGCTACTAAGTTTTGGGTCTGTATACGGTATATAGGGACTAATTTCCTGAATAAAATATGAGGCAACAAATTTAATAAAATGGCTAAATCTAATTAATAATCATACCCTTTAAATACTTACATGCAAGTGCTTCAAATTTGCAAACGTAAAGACCCATTTTTCCCATAGATTAGCGTTATTCTTGAGGATCCTGTTACAATTCTCCGCAGCATTTGCAAATTCCTCTATCAAATAATCGGTATTTAAGTAAATTAGTTTGAAGTATAAAATAATTAACATCATTATTAATTGGATTACATACCTTCTCCGATCAAATAAGCTAAATATCTCTCACCAAGATCTGTTAAATCAAACTTCTTACTTCCACCCCAAGCTTGAGCCTCTTGTAGTGACAACAACGCCTCTTCATATCTTGAACGATCTAATAACCAGCCTATATGATCGTCTAAATCGCGAGGTTTAGCAAGAACAAGGTCTTTAGGACTGACAACGTAAAACATGTCTTCCGAAGGAAAGTAATCAAGCGAATAATCATTCGCTTGATAATTTTGAAAGCTGTGAAGTGTTAATACATCAGTCGAAATTTCTTCATTATAAGCATCTATAATGCGTAACTCTGGACGTTTTGCACGCTATGAATTCATTAAATATATATAAATAAACGGCTTGATTGGTATATATATACACACACGAAATAGTAAACAATACACACTGATCTTTTGTATTGAGATGAATCATCGATCCCAATATCTTGCATGATTTCAGTAAGGTATGCCAAAACAAGGATCATGTCATTAAATGGTGCTATACCGCAAACAATAAATTCGGTCTGGAACCTGTATTGTTATTCAGGAAGGTATACAAACAAAAAAAAATGTATGTCAAAATATGAAATTATATGTATAAAAAAAAAAAAAAAACAGTTCAGTGTAATATAAATCTTACATAGAAACCTCAACATGTTGAGTCGGTCGACCTGGTTGAATTTCGTGTTTAGCATATTCCTAATAGGTGAACAAAAAAATTATATATCAAGATTTCAAGAGGTCCAATATTTTACATATCTTTACCTTGACAAAGGCAGTCTGAATAAAATTTGCCCAACCAATCAATAATGTAGTTTCATTACGCCATGTAAGGTTGCAACGATACAAATCAGCTCGAGGACTATTTGGCGGACGTTTAATATATGTAATCCTTTGTTGTGATTCTATGTTGTAAATTTTTACACCCTAAAATGTCGACAAGAATTTATTGGAAAAAAAATTCGTAAAAAAGCTATTATTAGAGTAAAAGATTTGATCAAGATATACCTCATCATTAGCATAGGCAATTAGCGATCCTTTCCATCTTACGGCACTAATTGCACCTTCTCCGGAATGTTGAAGTGTTGTATCCTGTTTGTGACCAAACCATCCTACAGGAGTCACAAGCGCTAGATGAATCACCGTGCGCTATCCATTAAAATTAAAAAAGACAATGCATATATACAAAATTGAGGGAATATGAATTTATATACCTTTCTCGTTCAAGTATAATACACCTGACATACCACCACAAACAAATCGTTGAGTATCTTTTCGATGAAAATCAGGATCCAGAGAAATACATTTAAGAGGTCGACGGTAATTGAAGACTTGCTTCGTATCATTGAATAAACCGTGAATGATGACTTTGCCTATAACGGAGAAACACGCTTAAGATTATATTTTTATAAAGAAATCCAGAAGGAAAAAAAAGTAAATACCATCCTGAGAAGCACTAGCGACAAATTCTTCAGTTACTTCAATGGCAATATCAGTTACTGCTGCTGTATGCGAAGTTAATCGTTTGTTGAAATTTCCATCAAAATCGAGTATTAAAATATCTCCGTTGTGCGTTCCGAGAACCTTTTTTAAAAATAAATAGTTGTTAGCGAAAAATTAGCAATAAATGAATGAAAACTATTGTTATCATTTAATTTGAATTTATTGAAATACATACTATAAATCTATCTGAAACCGATATTGTGCTCGCAGCGTCTTTTTTCAACAGTTCGCTAACGTCAGCATCAAGACGTTGATATTTTAACTTTGGTTCTTCTTCTTCAATCGATTCCTCTTCTGTTGTGGTTTCCTCCCCACTGTTATCGTCTTTGCCCTCGGAATCATCAGTTCCAAGTTCAGAAGAATTTCTTGTTTCATCAGCCACGTTGTCATTAACACTATCATTTTCTTCAAGATCGTGGGTTGGTTGTATAATTTCTTCGCCTTTGTCCATTTTTTGAACAAAATTAACAAAAAATTAAAAATCCGACATCTATAAGTATGTATGTATTTATTTATAGTAGATCATTTAACGTCACACAAATCAATAAATAACCCCCGTTATTAATTTTTTTTAAAAAAAAAAAGTTCCATATTTAAATATATTTTTATTTTTCCACTTTGCCTTTCTTTTGACATAACAAATAATACTTTGTTTAGTCTTACCACTCCATAAAAAAGAATTCTTTTCTTTTAAGGAACCGTAAAAAGTGCCTCCCGATATTTTTCTGCTCTTGGACGTTTAATTGAATTTCAAACTATGGAGTATTTACAGTAGATAGAAGGAGGAGAATTGGATTTAGATAAATATTGCCAAATTTATCAAAAATAACATTGATTTATATTTGGTTACCAGTAGCTGGAGTAGATATAAAGCACAGATTCTAATTATAAAAATATTTTAAGTGAAAGAAGAATGCACCTTTCTGAAAAATCTATTTCATTGCTTAATTTTTTATATTATAATAAAAATAAATAAGTTGATTTTTTTTTGCGAATCATTTTTATATTAGTTTACCTTTAATAATTTACCAGAATTTTGAACACATATTATCGCATATTTTATTTATTAGCACATACATATTTTGAGATTTACCATCACATATTTCTGGATACCCTAGCTTCTCTGGACAACTTTGGACAACTGCGGATAAACATCATGCTCAACTTTAATTGGCTGCTGCAGATACAACTAAACTTCTACTCATGTCACATGACTTTATCACATCTATGATCAGCATTGAAGAGTCGTGGAAATTATAGGAATCACCAAGTCCTGCCTTACACGCTAAGCAAGGCATTGAGACGCCAACTGGATACAAACTCCGATAGAAATCCTGAATCAATGATTTATGATGATACGCAAATACTAATAATGAAACCCAAATAACAAACAAGCTTACCAAAATTACCTAACTCTTTATAGCACCCTACTTGGCTTTTTTGAACAACCGTAGTTTAATATATTTTTGGTCGGATGTTGCTTTTATGATAATATTTTAAAAGGACGATAGCTTCAACTCTATAATTGATCAATATATTGATCAACACATTACCTTACAACCACTCACAACTCAATTTTTAACCACCTTTATGATCATTTGACCTTTACGCTCTTCAACACATTTGTATTGATACCAATAATTTTAGAAATTTTGGTAATATTGACCATTTATTAACTTGTAGTTAATCACCTTTCGCATATGTAATTGTGTCATTGAAAGGTTTTGTTCATTTTGTTTTATCATATTAGCTAGCGTTGGTTATTTTTAACGTGAAGGATGGCATCGCGTACCTCCCCCAATCCGTTCGAAGCCGAGAGAGTTTTTACTTAATTGGTTAGATTGGGGACGTGCAGGATGGTGGGTCTTGTCTTGGTTTATTTTTAGATTAGGAAGAGATTTTCAGAAATTCTTTATAAAATATCAACCATATTCAATAAAGATTGGCGGTCCCTCCCGCACGTTAAAAGTAAAAAAAAAAAATTTCATTCAACATTACAGGCCAAGTTTTATATAAATCACGCGAAATTATATATAAACTTAAAAATATCATCACTTTTTTTTTGATCGCTGAAAGCAATTATGAAATATCCCTTATTCATTAACAAGACATTTAAATGATTTCGACGTGAAGATGATTTAATTAATATTTTCTAATCTCAGATATTGGCATTTTGAATAAATCAATTTCTCTAGATATTTTGGACATGGCAATAACCGTTAATATACCTTTTTTTTTTTTTGCTTGCATTAGATAAAGAAAACTATTAATAAAAATAAACAATCTCAAACTTCTGATCGGGATAGAGTTATGATTTAAGAAAAATAACTAAATCTTCATATTTTACTATTATTTATTGGATTTGAATAAAGTTTTAAAGCTTCTATCTTCCTTTAATAAGTAATTGCATTCAGACCTCACCAAATTACTTTAACCATCTTTGGAGTTTGATATAAAATTTTCGTGTTTTCTTCCTCTGTTGTTGTACGTGAATTGCCAGAAAAAAATTTAGTGAACCCCCCAATTGTCTGTCTGACATACGGTCAAAAAACAAATTTTTTTTTTTTCACATGCAACAATTTAATTCACTTTACGGACTTTCTACTCATAAGTAAGGTTCCTGTTGTTAGATTATCTAAAAACTTTTCAATGTTGTCACATTTTTAATATTCATTATAAATTTGGTAAAAATTCGTAAAATTAAAAGGATTCCATAATTTCTAATTCGATCTTTTACAATTTATAGAAATTTTTTTTAAAAAATAATTTTGCATGCAAATTTAATGGGAAACAATGTAACCTTTTCTAGGAAATAAATTTTCTCCCATTCTGGTATAAGAATGCATCAAATTGGGTCATGAAGACCATTGTGTTAATTAATATTACACTTGTATTTGTATATAACTTTTATACAAACAATGGTTCAATCAATCTTTTTTTTCTTTTCATTATCGAATGAATACCACAGGTAGATTACCTTCAATTGTAATTTCCGAATTTAGCCAAATGCCCAAAGACTGATTTTCCTCATTCAGCGTCAAATGGTATATCGCGTCATAAAACCCTTTTTTTATATGTATATATATGCATATATTATATACAGTATGTATATAAATTATTATTTGGCGGAGTCGTCGGAGTAATTTTGTGAGATTTCCTTCCTTCCTTAAGATTACAAGGGTTTCAAAAATCAAAAAAAAAAATAATGGGTAATGGCAATTAAAGTGGCGAATGTGAGTCCAAAAATGGTTAGCAATTACCAAATCGAGTTGTTTCAGGTGACATTCGTGGCTTAGATGTTCACATGATGATAAAGTTTCACGATGTCAAAATCAATTCGTTTTATTGTGATACTCGGATATTACCCGCATTTTCATGCGAGATGTGACATTTGTTTATAAAAGATAAATTGAGAAATTATTATGATGCGCATTTGTGACCACCAAAAAAAAACAGATCTCGTGTTCAAATTATGAATTACGTGATATTATGTGGCAAATAATAATTCAATTGGATGAAAATTGTTGTGATAATATAGAATAATTTGCTTCGTGCGACTCAACTTTTAAGACCATATTTGAAGATAAAACAAAGTAAATGTAGGGCAAAAGATTTAACAAGACGCGCGTTTTGATATAAATTACCGGAAAAGCTTAGCCATGAAGATCTCTTGATGAATTTAAAAATGAGATGATTATTTGTAAAATCGATCATTTCATTCTCAGAATAAAATAAGGAACGTGCATATATGCACAAGGTTGTAATTATTTGTCTTTATTATTGATTCGTGAATTCATTTCCCATTAAAATTCTTGAAGACACATCGTGTTGATTCACCATACATCCATGAAATCACACTATATTTCGAGATCATAACAAGAATGATACAGCTAATATCGCATTAGTCAGGCATTATTAAGGAGAGAGCAAAGAATATTAACTTTATACATGTTATACCTATGCTATTTTGCATTTTTACTGTGCGCTTGATTTTCCACGAAAGGGTTGTAAATTAGCCACAGTGAATTTGTGATGTCCGCCACATAATGTGATAAATGGATTGTGGCAAGTACACCGGCACATAACAACATATTTTATTTGTCCAAACTCATAACTACGTCCCACCTTGAGTAAGTACGTGAGATACATAACGACTTTCGTTTGATTTAATAAGACAAAATGTTTTTTTCATGGCGAATAAAATTCGGGAATACTTGGAGAGCGGATTAAATTAAATATAAATTGAATAGGAAACCTTTAAAAATAAAGTTATGTATTGTCGGCCGCTTGTACAAAGCCGCTTGCCAATTTTAGAAATCAACCTGCCAATCGATTATATAAATAGAATCATAACATACCATATATGAAGGGATCGGCACATAAAAAAAATGATTTTTTTGTTTTTGATCTAGAATTATCCTTCCAACATTGTCTCCGGGAATAGATACATGCATAATATTTGTAGAAAATTCTATCTTTTTTCCTTTTTTAAACATGACATTTAAAAGGTATAAAAATGATCAATGTCGTTTGATTATTTACACTGCAGAAATAATAAGGATCTTGAGCAGAAAAATTTTGGTTACTTATCATTGCATACATTCCACATTTCAAAAATCACAGTGAATCCTAATGCTTTTGGGGTGGTATCACCTATTGAAATATTTAAATAAAAAGATTTTTTCACGTTGTACCCCTAAACTATATTTGTTAACTGATTTCTATCTACAACTCTTTCTCATCGTTGTTTTTAACCGGATCTCAGCATTCAGCCATTCACTATATTTGTAAAAGCGATCCACATGTAAGGACATATAAATATATATTAACTTTACATAATATTTTTAACTATAAATAAAAAAATCGTAAAAGTACATTCTCGACCTTAAATTCTTTGTAAAAATGAATCCTTATGCACTCACACAGTTAATAAATCATTCATTATATATCAATTTAAGAAGAATAATGAGACATGAAACATGATTTTACGATTCTCATGTGAAAGGATTGGGGCAATTACATTGCAAAACGTTTTAAATATACTTGTTATTCTCAAATATGATCTAATCTTTGTTGGCGATTTTACTTTTTAATTAATTAATCCTTTCATAATTCAACGAACATGACCCAAACAATACGTCAAGCACGTTCTTTATAGGAATCGGTTGCCTTTCTTGTATTAATAAATTCATAACATTAAAAATTTTATTTCCAGTCGTGATAAATCAAAATCGCAAAAAAAAAAAATAATTAAATGATTCAACAAAATATTACAATTTTAACGAAATTTGGTGTTTCATGCACGCGTCAATTAGATTTTGACGCGTTTAATGTAATTATTATTTAATAAATATCAAATCGTTAGCAAGAAGTATGAATACAACACAAGAATGGTTTGGTTTGATTCCAGAAACAAATTGTGAAACATACTTATTCATAAATTTCTTTGCATTTGTTTACATTCCTTAAATCTATAAATAAAAAATGTTACTATATTTAATGGATATTGAACGGGGGTAACCATATCGGGAATAATGATATAATCCCGTTCACTTTCTTTGTCATCTTTCAGTCATTAGGGCTAATGCGTTTCGATATATCAGTATAACATAAATCAACCTAATATAAAAAATATCAAAAGTCACAAATTCCGCATAATTCTAATATTCGCGGTCTGCGATAAATAAAGCCGTTTACTTACCTTAATAATGTTCAGTGCAATACTCAATAAGCTAGTTTTGTTGTAAGATATTCTTTTATTGTGACGTTTCATTAATTCTTTTAATAGGAAATATCGATAAGCTGCGCAGTTTTACTGCGGCAATAACTAGTTACCAAATCCAAAGTGTAATCCAACTCATTTTATGTATTGATCTGATATTGCCACTTATAGAGTTTTTTTTTTTTCTAAATGATTTCATCTCACGTTCGAGATATTCGATCTAGATAATGATTACCTCATCTATCCCATTGGATCATACGAAAGAATAAAATCAATATCACGAAACAAGAACAAATAACGATGATAGAGTTTTAATAGCATAAACCTTGCTGGTTCATTCGATCATTCGCTGACGCTATGGAAGAAACGTTAAACTTGGATCAAATTTTCTATAGATGCGAGAAAGGTTTCATTACCACCGTCAGATTTTTGGATCAGGTGCCCTACTTTACTAAACTTACGGGACGGCTCCGAATTAAGAGAATCTACGAGAATCAAATAACCGTGCACTTGTCCAAACATGGACCGATCGACAAATTTTCTACTAAATTTACAAAAATATCGTTCTTAAAATGTGCTTATGTAAGAACTGTGGCAAGTCCGAAAAGATTCGAATGTAAGCCACGATTTTATACAATTACATACAAGCAGTTAAAAAAGGCATACAATCTTGATAGAAACGAAAGATTACAAATGCATAAAATGTTTTGATTGGTTGTTCAATTCAAAAAGTCAAGTCTGGTGTGAAACAAAGAAATTTTTATTACCGAGTGAGAAGATTATGTGAAAATAAAACTAATGTATCGGTTAATAAATTCCTTTGCTAAATCATTTGTTAAATAATTTTGGTTTAAATATATCTTGTTTATAACTTTATAAGGTAACAAGTTAAAAAAAGATTACCGATCCTACTATAAATAACGATCCTTTTACTTTTTGGGATTTGGTGCTCTTGTAGAAGATCTTTAAATAGCAATTCCAAACTCCAATTTATACCTCTCAATTACGGATTTTGTGATATGTGACAATTGACAATTTATACTGTACTTTTTATGCAGCAGCCAACTTTTTTTTTTTATATTACGGAGTTTAATTTTTTTATTTAATATTAAAAAAATTATATTGTTTTAATAACCCTCCAAAAAGGTAATTTGCTGCACACATCCAATTTACGTGAAAACCTCCGAGGGTCAGATCAAACAAGAAAAAAAAAAGCTTATAAAGGAACCTGATAATGAATTTACCTTTTTTTTTTTTTCAGAAGTTCCCTACTTCTTCACTCACATAAATAATCGTCTTTAATATTTATTTCAAAAATTATACCTAAGTATTTTCATGAAACGACTTTTTTTTCAAATTTAATTTTCTTTTATATATATATATATATATATTCCTCTTAAAAGAAACGTAAGAAAAATAAGGAATCGAAAAGTGAACATTTTCTTGCAGAATTTAGCATCCAAGTTGTCATCTGGTTTAACAAATACGGTATACGAATTTCCTAAAAAAAAAAAAAAAAAAATGGAACATACCACGGAAAGCATAGAAAGTGCTTCCCAACAAACAACTTTACATGTAGGAGGGGATTCTGATGAGTCTTGTGAAGATCAATCCACCTCTTCAATTCCTTCTCAACCATTAAAGAAGAAACGAGGAAAAATTTCTCAAAATGCGTGTAATAAATGTAAACGTGATAAGAAAAAGTGTGATGGAAATTATGCAACACAATCATCTTGTACTTATTGCCTTGATCATAATGAAAAATGTATTTATCCAGAACCTGGAAGGAGACGACCAAGGATCAATACAGATTTAATTGATTATCAATCACGTGGTGAATTCATAGAAAGTACTTTGGTGAATTTGACAAGATTCATTGCAAACTTATCAAATCTTAACCAAGTTAGTAATACGTTAAGAGATCATTTTTTTCAATTGTTTGTACATCCTTTGACCACAATAGAACAATTTTTATTATTGAGAAGATTATGGAATGAAATTAATGATAATCCTAATGACAATCGATTTAACGTTGAAAATTTACAATCAATTTTATTGGTTTTGACAATCCTTATCCAAAATCGAGAAGAATCTGTCCAGCAACATTTCTGGGAACACGTCCGACAGATTGTTGATAACGTTATAGGGGATGTTCAAAACATGACCCCTCCTTCCACTTCCTCCACTTCCTCACTTGCCATTCAACCTTCCATTTTTCCACATAACATTCCTGAAAGTTCTGATGTTTTGCCACCAGATTTTTTGCAAATGAATTATACAACGGTTCAATATGATAATAATGATCCGGGTAACTTTCAACATCATTCCACGAGTCAATTAGATAAGTTCTTCACTCCTTTAGTAGATAACGTTGAATACGTTGACGACGATCCACGACAGTCGGTGCAAAATTCTTCAACGCAGCAGGACCAAGAAATCGCAAAACCTTCACAAATTATTCAAAAAACTCAAGTATCGGAACCAAAACTAAAAAAACAAAAGACAGAAATTCCCACGAAAACTCGGGAAAAGAAAAGAAAAGCGTCACGGATTGAATCCAACAAACAACGTAAATGTTCTTCTAAACAAGCTACGTACTTAAATCACGTGCATATTATGCACAGACCGGTTAAACCTGAATCAAAAACTAGCCTGGTTTTTCATAAGGAGGATCCAATTGATAATTCCATCATTACACCAAATTTATTTGAAAATCGACAAAATACTTTACGTCCCGAAAACCAATATACGCCCATTCCACAATATCAAAGACAACAACATCAGGACATGTTGAATTTATCTTATGAACATTGGAATAACGCTGGTTTATTTGCAAATCAGCAAATCTCTCAATCAACAACTCCACAACAATCTTTAACACGTGAACAATCTCCACAGAATGAAAATCCTCTTCCTCTTTTTAACAATTTGAATCCACCTGAACAACTATCTTATTTCCTTAATCCCAGAGTAAATAACGTTATTGAAGATCATAATCATCATACAGACTCAGTTGATATCAATTTAATTTTAGCCATGAGTGGTCACCTTGAAGAACAATAATCGTAATCGTATTTATTAATAATCGGTAAAAAGGTTCCTTTTCTTCATTGTATCATAATATATATATTTGATTTATTTATTTATCTTTCATTTTTCCACTTTAAAAACCAATTTTGTTTTTGTGGTGTATCTTACAAAAATAAAACAATTTGTGATTCATTATTATGTACAAAAAAATGAGATTTTTTTTTTTTTTTTTTAAATATAAGCTTTAAATTAGCAAATTACAAAATTTGAAAACGATTTGATAATACACGTCTATCGATCGTTATGTCAAAAGTAAGACAGACTTTGCAAAGAAAAGAATCCTTACATAAGAAAAAAAAAATTTCTTTTTATAAGATATTAAGACATTAAGAATATATTATGATTAAATTTTTATCGGAAATTTTACAGGGAATATCCTTGTTAATTATGAAATTTTTTGTATTAATCGTTATAATAATAAAAGTACCAATCAGAAAATTCATCTCATTCTAGAAACTTAATAAAAATGATTTATTAGCTTTATTTAGTGGTTAAAGCAACCCCTTTTGTGATTCAAAACGTGTCGTTTCTGTTATATATAATGGTATAATAAATGTGATGGTTGAATTTTTTATTACCAATTTTAAAATAATCGACAATACATATAAAAAAAAAAAAAAAAAAAAAGATAAAAAAAGCAAAAACGAGTTAAAAAAAAAAAGGAATTTTTAGCTTTTTTTCACCCAATTAGTCCAAGTTTTGCCAGATTCGGAGTTATGTTACCTTGCTTCTTTCTACAATCGCGATTTAATTCCAAATATGGGAACATAATAATCAGAAATTTATGAAGCGAGTAAGGAGGGCAATTTACTGGGAATTGTGGGGGGGGGGGGGATGATTATTCCTTTTTTTTTTTTTTTTTATTCCTTAAATAACTTGTATTTTCTTTTTTGTTTGAGCTTAAATTAGATTTGTACTTGCATTCCCTCAGGAGGATTTGTCATTTATTATGCATCTATAGTTTATTCATTATTCGATCCGATCATATATTTTTTCTATCGTACGAGGTATATTCTTTTTTTTCTTTTGTCTAATATAAATTTTTGTAATAAATTTCTACAGTCGAAATTTGCTGCGCCAATAGATGTGACACCAGGAGAAAAAAAAAAAACGCCAAAAAAAAAATTGTGGCTGATTGAAAATCCCTAAAGTTCAACGCGACATAAATTATATCCGACATACAATATACAATATATTTTTTAAATAAAAATCTAACATGAGATTCGAAATGTAGAATTCACAAATGATGTCATTAAACAGAAAAAAAAAAAAAAAAGAATTAAAAATTCTTTATCAATTCATTAAGAAAAAAAAAAAAAACAAACTAATTAACTACATAAAATGTTTAATCCAATAATACATCTTTCTAAAAACTTAACATAATACTTTTTCACTAGAAATAGAATTACTATTTTTTTTTTTTTTCTTTTTTTTTATATTAATTAAAATTTAATTAATTAATAAGCTTTATCTACTACGCCAAGTTGATCGTTCAACTCTTGAATTCGACGTTTCAATTGCTTGTGTTCCCCATCTTTTCGCGCGTCCAATTTCCAAGATTCTTTTTCATGATCATCACTTGAAAATCTTTCGCAATGATTCTGCGCGTTTTCTGAAAATGGATATGTCGCAACTAAAAACGTGTGTTTATAGATTTAATGAAAACATTTGATACTTTCGCACATCATTACCTTCATAAACGCCATAATCAACTTTAATAAATTTCATCCCAAGATCATAACATCCTTCATAAAAGTTCACACCAGACATTTCTATAACTTCCTCTTCTTCCATAATGATTTCCTCGTTCGACACGATTTCGTTCTCTCTCACGTGTTGTTCGTCTCCTTTCACATTTTCATGGTCACAATCATCAACGTAATATACTTGAACTCCATCACTCAATGTTCCCATAATATTCCAGTCAAACATACCTTCAATAATTTCACTAAATTCACCATAGGTTTTCACCTTTTTTATAAAGTAGCTTGTTTGTTGAGTAACCATTTTATAAAAATTGTCAAAGTTGTCAGAGTTCATATCACTCGAGGTGGTTGAATATAATGTAAAAATTACTGGGTCATCATTTGATTTAAATGGAAAAGTAGAATACTTTGTTAAAGAGGGTAACATTTTCTTTTTTTTCTTCGTTTTGTGAAAAAAATAAATTATTAAAAAAAAAAGAGTCTAGAGGAGAGTAGGGAAAAAAACGAAGATTACTTTTCGTGATAATCATTTATACCCATTCACCGACTAGAAAAGATCATTTAGCACGTTTATTTTTAACAAACCAAATAAAGTTAAACTAATGACGTGATTATCACGTAATTATTTTTCACATTCAAATTCTTTATTTAATTTATCTACTTTCAAAATATTTAATTAGTCAAAAAAAAAAAAAAAAATCTCCGTGATCTTTCAACAATTAACATTCCTAATGACTTGCTTTGCTCTTGATAAATCCGTTGGTGTAAAAGTATGATGATATTCGCAATATAAATAATCCAAAGTTCCACCACAAAACTCAATCACTTGATTTAAATGTTCATTACTAAAAAATTTGCATTTTCTAAAATCTAATATTTTTAATCGTTTAGCATTGCATCTTTTCAAAAATGTGTTCAAAGAATTTGGATAAAAGTACCAATCTAAAATGAATCTAAACATGTAAACTTGTTCACCCATCGCTTTTCCAACTTCACAAAGGAAACTATCAGCTGTCATAGGTTTATACATGTACCTTTCGATAAGATTGTTTCTAAAAATTTCAGATCTTTCGTCATGAACGTAAAGTTCTTGTAACAGGTTTGCCGATTTTACTATAGAAACGACTATCTTCCATCTCGCGTTAATTCCAACCGTTAATCGAGTAATATTTGAAAAAAATTGTGTAAAGGATTCTAAATTTTTTAAGTGATCCAAATCCAATAATTCTAACGATCGAAGTGAATTTGCGGCTTGTCGAAATAAAATTTCTATTTTATTAATATCAATTTTTGATGTTCTAATCGATAAAAATTCAACTTGATGAAACGATTGTATATCTCTTATCAGCAGTGGATTATTATCCTGATAATCGTCATCTTCGTCGAAGAAGGGTAGAAGATAATCCAAAGGGTATACATTACCAATTTCACAATCGACTAATGTCAACCTCCTCAGGTTATGGAATTTTGAGAGGCATCCTAAAGGAAATTGAAAACCAAATTTAACCCCTACAAATATAATGTTAACTAAACTTTTTGTATGATTCATTAAATTATCCCATAAACAAACATTTTCATCTCGAGAATAAATTGTTGGGCTGTATTGAATTAAAATCTTTCGTAAATTTCTTTGTGCTCGAATCAACATCGCAAAGTCCTTCAAAGGTATATAATATTGATCAAAAGACGCTTTTGCCTTTAATCGTATTTCTAAATGTTGAATATCTCTTGAAATTTTACTAGCAAACCTAGTCATTTTATCATCATCACATTTAAAAATTTGTAATTGGGATAATTTTGTTTCGGCATTTGGTAATTCATATACACTCGGTATAGGACACAAATGTTCACGACATAGATCAACGCATTTGAGATAAGTTGAACTTGTAAACAAATGTTTAATCAAAACCTCTGCTATATAACCTATAGTGTCATTATTTTCTAGATTGGATGAGAATGTTTTAAATTTTGGTGTTTCATTGAATCTTGCCCATTTCCCAACACTGTTTTTAATATTCTGAATAGAAATGTAACGTAAGAAACTTGCGTAATTAAACAGTGGTTGTTTAGATGTTTCATGAAGTTCAATAGGAATCTGAGTATCTTTAGGAAGATAAATCAAATATGTGTTGATAAGGTAAGTGTTAGAACGGACGTTGCCCTTTGTTTTGTTCTTTGTTTTTATCATTTCAAAAGGATTTTCCCAGAGCATTGCTATAAGTGATGAACACCAATATCTATTAATAAGAATACACGAGTATTGAGTTTTTAAATCATATCTCAAATATTCAAATATTCTTTCAAGGCAAAGTTCAGGTAAAGAAGCAGCGGCCATAATTTACGTGAGAAATGAAAATTAGAGGGTAAAGTACGATGTACCGTATGTTGGGAAATGTAATTTGGGCATGTAGATTATCTTTTTCAGAAATTACTAAATGTTACATCATGCTTAGTCATGACCACTTAAGGATAATAAGTTGAAAATTATGACCTGCAAATTGCTTTTAAATTTTTTTTCTTTTTCATTACTTTTCACGGCAGTGTTGTCATGGAACATTGTTGGGACATGGTCTGGAACACTGAAACATGAGACAAAATGTACAGTATACAGGTAAATTTGCAAGCATTCGTGTTTCAAATTTTGAGATATTGTGGCATTCTATCAACAATTACGCATGAGTTTCTTGAACGTTCCTCCTCAGCAAGTGACCTCAACACAAGCTCCTCTCATACATCAAAAGTGGCACCGAGATAAGCGAGTGACCGACCACAACATTTTATCTATTGATTTTTTTTAAGGATATACAATTACCAGTATTGTCGTCTCCTCCTTATTAATAATAAAAAAAAAATCATTAAATCAATAAATCGTCCTCCTACACAAAATTACCAGTATTGTCGTCTCCTCCTTAATAATAATAAAAAATCATTGAATCAATCGTCCTCCTTCCATCACAACACAAACATCGTCAAAAGAACCATAATTGAACTTAAAATGTACAATATGTACAAGTGAAGCACACAACTCATCGATTGTTTTACGTGTAATTGACAATGGTTGACTATTTATGTATAATCAATCCGATATCGTAATTTAGAATTTTATTTTATTTTACCAATTTTTTTTTTCCTAATGATAACAAAACATCTATATAACGAAAACCGTCTAAATATAACAAATTTTGTTTTTTCCTTTCTTTTTTTTTTTGTTAACATGCCCTATTGAATTCGTTATTTTCAACAACAAGATTCGGAATTATCTTTCTTGCTTTCTTAACATATTCCCTAGACATGTGATGATAACTATTAAAATATAGATATTTTAATGTCTCGCCACAATGACGAACGACAACATCTAAATGTCTGGTAGAGAAAAAGGTGCAATTACTAAATTCCAACCTTTTCAACTTCCTCGCATTACATTGCTTAAAAAATGTATCAAGAGAACTTGAATTATAAAACCAATCCATAAGAAATCTTATCGTATGAACCGTTTCCGGTAATGCCATTCCAAGTTGACAAATAAACTCATCAGCCGTAAGCGTACAATTTAGATCCATTGGCATATAAAAACCTCCTTCTTGCATGGTTTCATCATAGATATGAATTTCCTCCAATTTCCTGCACGTGGTCACCATGGAAATAATTGATAAAAGGGTCCCTTGATTAATTGATAAGATCAATTTCGTTAATAGGGTGCAATACTTTCTGCACGAATAAATTAATTCTCGTAAATTTCTAAAATTCCTTATTTCCAATACTCTTATGCTATCTCTGGCTTGACGAATCAAAATTTCCAATAAATCTACTTGAATGTTTGTCGTATTGATCGTTATAGATTTTAACTTTTGAAATGATGAATCATCAACGTTTATATCGGATGCTCCGGTAAAGTTGCACCAAATGAGCTTGAGATGTTGTAAATTCTCTAATTTAGCAAAATATTGAAGTGGTAAACCACAACCAAAGGCGATCTTGTATAGATCGATACTTGTCAAAGTTTTTATGTGAGTACATATACTAATCAATAACGTGGGGAATTCAACTGGAGTGCATTGAAGTAATATATGTTGTAGGTTTTTTTGTGATTCGATCAAATCTATTACGTCGTTAACGGGGGAATTCATCGTATCCGAGGAATAATCATTATATGAGCAAAAGAATCGAATTTCCAGGAACCGAATATTATTGGCGATCTTGGTAGCCGATTTAACGATACCAGTTTCCATCAAGTCGGGCAAGTACATCACACTACATTTAAATGTCTTTATTCTTGACAAGTTTGGATTTGCGAATAAATTGAAAAGTCGAAAAGATAAATCAACTTCATCAATACGAGTTGAACAGGAGATGAAATAATCACATAAAATTTCAACGATAACCCTCTCGTAATCCCGTGTTATTATTCTCTTGCAAGTCACGCGTAAATATTTGAAGAAAGGGAGTTCTTCAACTTTCTTTGATACAATCCATCTGTTAACACTTTTACATATTGGTGCGATAACAATACATCGCAAGTATTTAACGTAATTAAAAATTGGCGGTCTCGTCGTCCCGGAATAAATATTGTCTCTGACATTTTTTGGAAGACAAGAAATGTAAACATCAATTAGTGATCCATGACGTTTTGGATTTCCAGAACACATAGTAACGAAAGGATTTTTCCATAGTTCAGGAACGGCCAGAGTAAACCACAAGCGATTAACGAGTATGCAAGAATAGAGTGTTTCAACATTATTATCTAATTCTCGAAAGATTTGTTCAAGACAAAGTTCAGGAAAATAAACCATTTTATAATTTATTTTTTTTTTTTCTTGTAAGAACGATTGATTAGGTGATTTCAAAATAAATTTTTAGAAGCGTGTATTATATTTATATATATATATATATATATATAATACTAAAATAGGGGGGGCAATTATCATGTCGATCCTTTCTGCCAAAATAAAGCGTTTAACTTTAAATGGCTCCTGTGTTTGAGCACGTGAATTCTTTAATCATCGATCATCACTTGTGAAAAGCCCGAAAAATTTCCCAAAATCTTAATTTATATAAAATCATTTAATGCATCTCTCACTCAGTTATTTATATAATATATATATATATATTAAAAACCATCATTTAAATAATATTTCTTCGGTTGAAAAATTATATAAAATCTAATTTTCTCTATAATCCGTGTCTACAAATTATAATCTTAAATACTAAAAAATTATGTTACAAACCATTGATAAATATGTTATTTAATGAAAATCTCGTAAATTACAAAAAATATAAATTAACTTGTATGTAAAGAAAGATAAGTTATTGAGGAATAGGAAGATCTAAAAAAAAAAAAAAAAAGCTCGTTACAATTTAAAACATGTTATACCATCTCCTCTCTTTTTGATTAAAAAAGAAACACTTACTTTTTCCACTTCTATCTTG